ACTTAAAGTACCAGCCACCTGAGCAGATGAGCAACCTCTGTGTTATCCAGTAGTTTCCTTTTGCATTTCAGCTTTTTCTTTTTTGTTTTTTTTGTAAATTAGGAAATAATTCTAAAAAAATTACTAAGAGGATGATTTATTTAAAAAAAAACTTGGAGAAATAGCATATGAATTATGGGTAACATTAGATTTAACTTTTCCCCCCGTTAGTGGGGGAGAATCCTTGAAGGCATGGATGCAAATATAAAATTATAAAAGATCTAAATAAAGCTTATTTTAAAGTATGGAGGAACTCCATGTGATTTAATTGCTGATCAGACAAAGACCCTGGGCTGAGCTTGGTTGTGGCACTGAGCACAAGACAAATCACCCTTGCCCTGACTGAATCAGGGGTCCCTGGGGTGATGGGGGGATGCAGGAGAGATCTGCATCTTTCTGCACCAGCTCTTTCCCAGGACCAGATGCTGGCCAAGTGCTTTCACCTGCATGCAGAGATGGGGCCATCAGTTCATTTGGATGAAATTGGTATTTAAGGATTTAAGGTAAGCAAAGGTTTGGGAATGTGGGGGAACAGGCGTATGTTTTCCTCAGATGTGGAAGATGTAATGCTGAGGACCAAGAGAAGCAGGTGGGACAGAGAAATGAGAAGATTTTGTGTTGTAATGTTTGTTAGTGGATAAATTATTAATTTATGATTGGATGTTATTATTAATATCAATAATGTTAGTCCAGTGTCTAGATTCTGGACAGGGACTCTTTGTCAGGGACTGTAGCAATAGGACAAGGGGTGATGGATTCAAACTGAAACAGGGGAAGCTCAGGTTGGAGATAAGGCAGAAGCTCTTCCCTGTGAGGGTGCTGAGGCGCTGGCACAGGGTGCCCAGAGAAGCTGTGGCTGCCCCATCCCTGGCAGTGTTCAAGGCCAGGTTGGACACAGGGGCTTGGAGCAAGCTGCTCTAGTGGAAGGGGTCCCTGCCCGTGGAAGGGGTCCCTGCCCGTGGCAGGGGCTGGAGCTGGAGGAGCTTTAAGGTCCTTTCCAGTGCAGACCGCTCTGGGATTCCATGAAATGGTATGGATAATGAGCCTTTTTTTTTTTCTTTAACAGAATCATCCTGTGTCTGCGAGCAGAGGCAGAACAGGTAAGAGCCACCGTGGTCTGAAACGGGGAGAAAAACCCACTCCTGGGAGCCAGTTGGCTTCCCACCTCATCATCTGGAGCTGTAACGGCCTCCTCGGTGGCTTTCATCCCCTCCAACAGCCTGTCCCCCTTGCCGAGGGCAGGCCAGGGCCGAAGGAGAGCCTGTCCCTGCTGTGCTGCTGCATCCCTGGCCCGTCCCACAGCATCCCCGCTGCAGCGTGCTGCGATGCTGCCATCGTGTGAGCACTCCCTGAGCCTGGAAGACCGGTGGGGAGGTGTTTATTTTAGGGCTGACTCGTGGTGTTTGTGCACTTTGCACCCATAACGTTGCTGTGCAGTCACGAGTGTGTTTCCTGGTGAGGACTTTAGACCAAGAAAGGAAAATGTCACCGCTCTGTAACAGGGCACAGCGTTGTGCCGGGGTTGTTGCACCTAAAAGCACCATTATTTCATCTGAACACCTCTCCCTTTTTACCAGTTTCCTTGAATTATAAGGAATAGTCAGTCCCCTCCAAACCTTCATTGGCCTAAGCTGAATCATAGATTTCATTAACAAATAATTTGGTTCTGCCTCCTTGGCCACTAATACATGAAGCAGCAGACATCCCACTGCCGACCGTTGAGGCAGAGCCTCTCTCATCCTCATCACCTCTTTCTTAAATATGATTTAGGGCAATTTTTTGCTTAAGCACATCTATCCAGTTCATGTTAATCCCTCGTATGTTCAACTAAAGACTTTTCCTTTAAAGTGTTGTAAGAAATGCTTAATTTAAATCTCTCTGGATTTTTATATCTAGATTGTTTTGTATCTAGATTATTGTATCTGCTGCATCACCTTTGGGTAGGAAAGCACTGATTTTTGTATAAAAAAGAAGTCCAAATGAGATGAGTCTGTCACGAGCTGTCTTGTACAACACCACACCGTGACTGAGTCTACTTTCTGTTGCCTCTCTGTGCTTACTTCTGCATTCCTCCAAAGTCTGTTCTAAAGTCACATTAAAAGGCCTTGTGTCACATTAAAGACTCGTTTAAAACCCCCTGCAGAGCACACAGGGACTGCAGTGCTCCTTCCCAGCCTGAGCTGGTCCTGGTGTTGTCTTTGGATGATGTTGTAACTGTCACTGGGCATTATAACTGTGCGTTACCTGTCATGCTGCCACCATGCACCAGTGAGCGGTGTATCAGGAGGGAGTCTGAGGTGGCAGCAGGGATGAATCCCGAGGAGGTTTCCTGCCTTGGCACAGACTCTCCCCATGCTTTAGGCAGGGGAAGTCACCTCCCTGGGCTCAGGTTTTACATCCAGGAGCTAAAGCTGCATGTGCAAGTAGCTGAATAGATTGTCAGGGTGGTTGGTGGGTCATGATATGTGGGTGATGGGTGACATGAATGGTGGCATCTCCCCAATGGTGTCGAGGGCCACTGCTGAGGCTGCTGGAAATGTGGAGATATTCCTGGCTTTCATTCACCCCTTTTCAAGGTGTCTTCAACTCTTACTGCTTTGTGTGTACGAAGCCAGTGTTGGAAATGCCTTTGTGTGAGTCCTTACCTGCAGGGAATGCAGCAGTGCCTGGAAGCATTCCTTGCAGCAGGAATCCCATGTGGCCTTTGGGACATCCTGCTCTGCCGGCTGTTCCCCACGTCAGCCCCTGTCTTCAGCTTCCCGCTGACCAGAGGCAGCCACAGGCACCAGCAGCAGCACAGACCGAGTTGCTCTGCACCATGCAGCTGGGACACTGGACTGCGCTCGGCCCCATGTCCAAGCAGGAACGTTTCCTTGGAGTGTGACGATGGCTGGTGAGTGATTTCCGGACATTCTCCCGTTCTCAGGCACAAGCCATCCCTCACCATCTGCTCCCAGTTCTGCAAGGCTGCATTAAACCTCTCTGCCCAGCTCTTGCTATCCAGCCACGACACCACCGTTGCTCTCCTCTCCCAGCCCCGTGATCCTCAAGCCCCAGACCCTGTATTTCCAAGCCCTCTCTTGTCCTGAACAAGCCACTTCCCAATGGCACAACCCAGAGCACTGAAGCCCTGAGGAATACAAAGGCAGTTCCTCACCTCTGTCATGGCAGCGAGGGGCTGGTTCTCCTGCCCAGCCAAGCTGTGCCTTTGGCAAGGCAGAAGCAAGCCGGAGCATCGCGGGTGAGCTGCAGCAGCCCCGAGGCTGGCGCCAGGAGGAAGCAGCAGGTTACTTATTACTGCCACAGCAGCTCTATTTATGCTGCTCTCCGGGCTGCAGGCGTGCGGGTGCTTGAACAGGCAGACGCTGACCTGGCACGGTGGTTGGACTGGTTGGACTGGAACCACCTCGATGTCCCGGCAGCCCCCGGGGACACCCGCTCCCCGCACCAACAGGCTTCTCACCTCACCAGGGAGGTGCTGGTGGGTCACATCCTCCCATTGGGAAAGCACAGGATTGTGCGAAGCAGGAGCATGTGGAAATGCCTGCCGGGAGGCTGCTTTTCCCCTTGTGTTTCCCACTTGCATCACGGGTTCCCAGCCTATAGCCTGACAGAGGGGCTCTCTAAATTGGGGTATAGAAACCAAGGCATGGGGAAGAGAGCAATACACACCTGTGGGCTGGAAACTGGGGTCTGAGGGAGCACGTCATGGAGCAGGCTGGGATGGACTTTCATCCCAGGGCAAAGCCAGGGCTCTGCTGTTCTCTGTGTCCTCATGGGAGATGCTGGGAAAACGAGCCTGGGCTGGGAATTCAGGGTGCAAGAGCCTGTCCCCAGCCCATGGAGGGGGAATCAAACCTCCCCCCCCCGCAAGGCTGCACTGTCAGGGAAGGGTGGCTTGGGGCTGTAGGAGCAGGGCTATGGGGGGATAGAAACCTGAGCATTCCCCCCCCTCCCGGGTGCATTATAACTTATAATTAGTTGTTATGAGATAACTTCATTCATGTGCATGGGCAATGTGGGGGCTGTGCTGATCTGGCTCCCCTGGGTGGGCTTTTCTTCCTCCAGGACAAGCTGGCTGCAGGTATCCAGGAACGGCTGTGACTGGAGCGCTGGGTTTGGCTCGCTGTTGGAAAGGTTTGGAGGATTCCTGGGATGTGGCTGTGCTCTGGGCTGGGCTTTGCAGTGATTTTATCGTACGTGGGGAGCACCTCTGAGCAGGTGAAGTGTGAGCAGTTTCTGCCGGTAAAACAGAGTAACGTGAGCCCCTGGTACCTCTGCAAGTACCAGGGCATCAAATGCCCCTCTGAAAGGCCCTTTTGTTGCTTGCTGATGGCTCCCGGTGGGGCTCCAGTTTCCTCCTGGGTGTTTCTGTGCAAGCAAGGTCTTTATCCTGCATATTTGGTTGGATAAACAGTCAGGAGAGATACCAGCCCACCCTGGGAATGTGTGCAAGGGCAGGATTCGAGGTGCCCATAGATAAATACCCACCCTGCATGGCTGCTGTAGCTGGAAAGGCAAATGAGGCAAGGATATGCGTGGAAATACGTTGTCCCAGAGCAAAGCATGCGGCAGAGGAAGGCAGGAGCATCTGCAGCCACCCAGGCTCTCTGCCTGCTGAGGGGTGCCAGTGAGTCCCTGAACTTAAGGATGGACAAAGCAACTGGGGTTGGGGAGAGAGGGAAGAAACCTGCTCCAAAGGGAACAACTGAGCCAAGGGGAGGGATGAAGTAGCTTGAGTGTGCCCCTGTAAGGATGTGCAGGCAGTCCCAAAGAGCCATTTCTGGCCAATATTCAGCTTTGCAGAGCATAAGGAGACACTTTATCAAGGTCCCCACTGTGCTGGGTCCCCAGGGCCCATTGCAGGGTGGGTGGCCTTGCTCCAGCTAGGGCTGGGCTCTCCCTGTGCAGCATCAGTGCCAGTTAAAGTGCATTTCCCCCCCTCTTTCTGCAGAGAAACCAATTCCCTGCTGTAGGCACTGACTGCAGGAGCTGCCCAAGAGCACAGGGTTGCGTTTGGCACAGAAAGGTGCTGCGGGGAGGGGAAGGAAATGATTTGCCTGAGCTGGTGGCCAAGCCTGAAAATGCAAAGCAAGGCTCACAGGTAAGACCCCGTACACAGATCTATGTAATGTCATTTTCTGTTGTAGGACCGCTCTCATACTGGCCTTTGATTAGGGAAGGAGGGTATGGTGAGCAGGGAAGGGCAGCCCTGCTGTGCGTCAGGAGGAGGAGCTGGGCAGGTGAGCCAGTGGAAAATACCGTTGGTTCCATGTGGGATTGCTCTGGTAGGGGCTGATGCAGCAAAACCAGGGGGATTTCCCACCCAGCATCTGAGCAGCAGTGCCCCCAAGGCGGGGTTGTGTCGTGCTGAGTCACACATGGGGATGTGACGAGTTGGGTTTGTGGTGGGGTTTGCCTCTGCAGAGCTTAAGGGACAGGAAAAACTGCAGGGGCGGGTCCAGCAAGTGTGGCAGTCCTGCTTTTCACTCCTGGCTGGAGGAAAACCCACCCCCAGTGTCATCCCCGAAGGAATTTGAGTCTTTGGTGGTGGTTATTATACAGCTGGGTGTGAGAAGTGTCGGGAAAAACGCACCCTCATTGGTGCTGGGATGGCAGCTGGGAAGAGGTGATGCTGGACACGGTGTTAATTGTGATGGGGTTTGCTGGAATGCAGCTGCAGCTCAGCTTCCAGCTGACCCATTGTGCCACTATTGGAAACATGCTCCCACTCTGGTAACTATTGCATGTATAGTGCATGGAAAGATTGATCCTGCCCCTCTGTCCACTCTCATAGGATCCCCCTTGGAACTGTGTGCAGTTCTGGTGTCCTCAACATAAGAGCTCTTGGAGTAAGTCCAGAGGAGGCCACGAGGATGCTCAGGGACTGGAGCACCTCCCATATGGAGCCAGGCTGAGAACACTGGGGCTGTTCAGCCTGGAGAAGAGAAGCTGTGTGGAGACCTCAGAGCAGCTTCCAGTGTCTGAAGGGGGCTGCAAGGATGCTGCAGAGGGACTCTTCATTAGGGACTGGAGTGATAGGACAAGGGGTGATGGGTTCAAAGTGAAACAGGGAAAGTTCAGGTTGGAGATAAGGCAGAAGCTCTTCCCTGTGAGGGTGCTGAACCCACACAAACTAGTCTGGGATTCTGTGGTTGTTCAGTTGCATCTTAGGCATGGAAATGTGCAGAGGTTCCCTGCTTCCTAGAGCCACCCACAACCCCATGCAGGACCATGGCTGTACCTGGAATGGCTCTTCCCAGTTAGCAGGTGGTGAACTGGGAATATTTATAGAGGGCAGCAACCGGATTAAAGTGCTTTCCAGGCTCCTTGCAACCAGAAGCCCTGCTCTGTGGGGTTGTTGCCTTTGCCTTGTGGAACACAGCGATGAGCCCAAGTGGTTGTGGTTCCTCAAACAGGTTTCTGCTCAGAGCAGCACATTTGAGAAAAGGCTCTGCTCATGGGTAAGAGCCAGTTTCATGGTGCACATCCCTCACAAGTTGCTTTTCAAACTAGAAATGGGGGCTATGAGCACTGTGAGGACCCTGCTTGGAGCAGGTGACCCAGCCCGTAACCCACAGCTGGGATGAGGTGTGGGAAAACGTATAGCTCTTATATATTCCATAATGGAACGCAGGGATTGCAGGAAGTAGATGCTGCACGAGCCTCCTCCCGGGTTGCAGGACCCCAGGAAGCATGCAGGTTGGGGTCTGTCCCCGTCATCACTGGGCGCATAACGAGTGTGGGAAAAGGAGCACCAAAGCACATCCCTGATGTGCCCGAGCTCGTTGTTGCTGCAAGGAACCTTTTGGAGAAGGGGAACCAGAACCAGCCTGTGCCACTGCCTTCCGGCAAGCACCGAAAGGAGCCACAGCTCCGCAGGGGGAACCGAGGGGCCGGACGGGCAGGGTCCGTTCCCCCTGTGCCCGCACGGGGAGCGCTGCCCCGCGGCCGCCCCGCCGATGGGGCCGGGCCCTGCAAGCACCGCCCCAGGAGGGCCGGGCTGGGAGCACCGGCAGGGACCCGCCGCAGCCGCCGCCGGGAGGTACGCGGGGCCGGGCCGGGGGCTGCGGGACCCCAGTCCCGGGAAGGAGCCGAGGGAGCGGGGCGGGGAGCGGGGGCTGCGCTCGGCGCCATCGCGCCGGGGATGGGACTGGGACGGGGACGGGGACGGGGCTGGAGCCGGGACCGGCTCGGGCTGGGCTCGGTCCCGCGGTGCTCGGGGCAGGGAGCGGGGCTGGGGCAGGCTTAGACCTCGGGCAAGGACGGGACCGGCTTAGGCTCAGTCCCGGGGCAGAACCGGCTCGGGCTCGGTGCCGGGACGGGGCCAGGTTGGAACCGGGTCCCGGTTGGGCTCTTCTCTGCACCGGGGGCACCAGCCGGGGCTGGAGCCTGCCCCGTGTGGGGGCCCTGAGGGCCTCTTGAGTGCGGCCCGTGGGAGCGAGGGGTCCCTGGTGCCGTCCGGAGCTCAGCCCGAGCCCCAGAAGGTGAAACCACCCGAGGGGAAACGTGCCCCGCCGGGGGTGTGAGCGGCACGGGGGGCTGGGGGTGGTGGTGTGGGGGTCACCCCTCATGGCGCTTGGTGCCCTGCGGGTCCTGAAGTGGCCTGATGAGGGTGAGGAGGAGAGCGGCCACCCTTTGGGAAGGATCCGCTGCTTCCCCCCGGCTGTCAGGAGGAGGGGGGCGAGCCCCGCTCCCAGCCCGCCGGCCCCTTTGTGGCGCTCCCCACGGGAGGCTCGAGCACAGACCCGTTGCTCGAAGGCGTCAGGCCCGGGGAGGTGCCGGGGACGGGGTGCGCACGAGTGTGTTTGGAAAGCAAACAAAGACAAAGGGAAGGGAACCGGCGCAGGGCAGCTCTGTGCCGGGGGCTCTGTGACCCGAGCAGTGGTCAGGGGGTTGCGGCTCTTCCCACTGTGCCATTCCTGCTAAAGAAAGAGTGCCTGCAGCTTGGAAGGGCTCCGGCAGCTCTGCCAATGGCTCCCAAGTGGTGCTTTAGGGAGAAAGCAGCGCGGGCACCCTCCTGCACTGTGGGTTTGGGTTACGGCCGTGACAGTGACAGTTATCTCGGGAAGCTCCTGTCTCTGCTGTGACGATTTTTTCCTATGAGAGGCACGGGCAGAACCACGGAATTCTTGGGTTTGGAAGGTGAGGTCGGGTTGGAAACCCCTTCAGGTGGGTGTTTTGGTAGGCCGGGAGAGCAGGAAGTGTGCCAGCCACATTCCACCTGCTCTGTCACAGCCCCATGCTGGAATTGTTGGCTGCTGGGGGGTGTTTTGTGGACTTCTGCTCTGCCTGAGTGGTTTTTCCCTTGCGAGCCAGCTCTGCATGTTTGTGCGTGTCAGGAGCAATCCGTGTGTGTGTGTTCCCCATAGGTACCTACAAAAGGGGTGTCTCGGGAATCACGGCATGCCCAGCACCAGTGCAATGGAAGTAGGTTGAGGTGCCTTGTTGCAGCAGAGGTTGTGTGTGAGGGAGCCCCACGTCAAGGGCTGCTTGTGCCCTGCTGAACTGACCCGTGTCTGCGGGAGCAGCTCTTGCTGTGGGCAGCGTGCCCCAAAGCAGGAAACCTCCGTGTTTCCTGGAGGTCATTTAGAGTGTGGCTGGGTTTGTTGGGAAGCACATCCATGTGAGCAGGAGCCCACAGTGCTGTGTGTGACACAGGATGCCCTCAGCTTGGCCTGGTGGAGCCTGAGTGAGGGGAAGCTGCACCAGGATGCTTGGTCCTGGCTTTTGCTGCTGGTGGGATTTCAAGCTCCTTAAAGTAGGGAAGAACTTCCTTTGATGTGAGTCCCTTCTAACCCAAACCAGGCTGTGATTCTGTGATCTTGCAGCTTTCAAAAGGCCCTGGGTGTCTTGGCGTGCCAGCCAGGAAGACAAGCTTCCTAGATGGCCACGAGGAACACATGGGTGTGTGGCTGATGAGCCCAGCCCTCACCCCAGGTGACTCGGAAGTATGAGATGCCTTTGATTTTTGTTATGGATAATGACACGGGTGGGGAAAAACCTCAGGAAATGCTTGCAGAAGGAGCAGTGTTTGCCCATCGGCACCCTGCAGGTAGCTGAGGATTGGTGATGCTCAGCACCATAAAGGAGCTGCCTGTATTTGCACTCACATGGAGATCCTGGCAGGCCAGGGCAGGGCTGTCTGCTCCCAGCAGCAAGGTATGTGTCCATCTCGGGAATGCTGCTCAATGTGTTTCTTGTTCCCAGTGTGTTTGTTAGGCAGAAACCTGTGTTAAGGCTGCACCAAAGCAGCCAGAACTCCTGTATGAGCTGTGCAGGAAGCGTGGAGCAACCTAATCCCCAGCAAACCTCCAGCCCTATGGGAATACCTGTGCCTACCTGGGTGAACACTGGGGCTTTGTGCCTGGCTGCCCGGCCAGCTTCATCCCTCCCCCTGCATCCTCCATCACTCCCTTGCTGCTCCATTGGCTCCTCTCTGGGTTGTTCTTGCTTGTTGGCTGTTTGAGAAGTGAGGGGCAAGGTGATACTGCTTTGGGGCACAGTGAGATGAAGGACATTGCTGAAACCCAGGGTGAGGATGAGGAAGGTGGTACCAGCACGATGTGCCAGGTTAGTGTCTTGCACTAACCAAGCTGAGATAAGGTTCCAGGTCTCCTGTGGTGTGATGGGAGCTGCTTAAAGCCCTCCAGGAGGGCTGGGAAGCATTCCGAGGCAATAGGAATGCCAGATTTAGCTTCGGGGGACATCAGAAGGGCAGATGGGTAATGTCTGAAGGCGCTGAAAGGCTTCAAAGGAGAGGGTGGTATCTGGCACGGAGCGAGGTCACAGGCCAAGAACCATGGGGGAAGGCTGCTGGAACAGCTTTATCTTGGCAGGAAACAGCAGATCAGGAAAAGTAAAGGAGAACAAAAAGCGAACACAAAGGTGCGAAGTGGAATTCAAAGGGAAGCAGGAAGGAGACAAAGCCCAAGTGCTGGGATTTTCCCAGGCCCGGGCACACAGCATAGGCTGGCAATTCAGCTCCCTTCTCCAGCCCCAGGAGAGGAAAAGCCCCCAAAGCTCTGGTTTAGCAGCCCCTTCCTCGGGGTGTTAGGCTGCTCTTGGCTGCTTGTGTGAGCCGGGCTTGGGAATAGCACGGACAGTGCACACAGCAGGCTGTACCTGGTGAGGGCTCACTGACCTGCTGGGAGCCTGTGCCAGCGTGGCTTTGGTGGCTGTGGCAGTATCATTATCCCCAGGAATAAATGGCAATGTCCTTAAATACAAATTTAAAAGGACTCTGTGTCCAAGTCCATTACTGCTTTGCAGCAAGAACTGCTCTGATGCTGTGATGAAATTATGGAGAAAGAGAGTCTGCGAGGCAGTTTCTCATACTTCAGTGGCATAGTTCAAGCTAATCATAGAATCCCAGACTGGTTTGTGTTGGAAAAGACCTTAAAGCTCATCCAGTTCCAACCCCTGCCACGGGCAGGGACACCTTCCACTAGAGCAGCTTGCTCCAGGCCCCGTCCAACCTGGCCTTGAACGCTGTTATTCTGCAGCCCTCAGCGTGTCTGTCCGGCTGCATTGCAGCCTCCTGAGCTCGGGAATGCACCGGGAAGCCTTGGCTTTCCCATGATGCCCTTTTTTTGCAGGAAGCTGCAGCGCCGGGGGCCATGGGGTCCCCTCTGGGTGGGCTGGGAGAAGGGGGAAGCACCCTGTGTAGTGTTCCGAGAAAGCACTGCTGCTTGCTGGGTGCTGTCTGCAATAGTGCAACTGAGGAGGAGTCCTTAAAAATGAAACTTAAGGAGAAAGAAAACTGGTGAAACAGCTCCTAAAGTGTCTGTCGGGAATGCCGAGAGCAGTGAATGTGGGTCACATTCTTGTGCACTCTTGGCAGGAAGTGTAAGCAGCAAAACATGGGAAAGCCCTGCTAGTCTGCACGGGGCTGTCCCTCCGGGTCTTTATTCCCTGCTGAGATGCTCTAGAACAGGCTGTGGGTGTTTGTCCAAAGGCCTAACCGGCATTTCAGCTCAGCTGCATGGCGCTGGGTATTTCCCACACCACTGGTGCAGGGAGGAAACTCCCTCCATCCTCTGGGCTGTATCTGGCCAGGAGCATCCCTGATGCTGGGGCAGTGGAACGTGGGCAGCCAAAAAGGCCTAAAGATGGGAGAATACAGCCCAAGTTGTGACCTGTTGGTCTGTGCCTCCTTGGGGGGTTGAACCTTTGTGTGACAAGGCTTCTGCCACTGCAGGAATGAGGTCGAGTGGTCACCAATTAGCAGGGAAGGTGGTTAATGAGAAGGCAGGTTGGGTGTAAGCATGGAACAGACTGCCCAGGGCAGTGTTGGAGTCACTGAAAGTGTTCCCAAACTGTAGATGTGCCATGTGCTAGTGGTGCCTTGGCAGTGCCGGGCAATGGTTGCACTGGATGAGCTTAAAGGTCTTTTCCAACCTGGTTGATTCCATGATTCCATGATCCTGTGTTGCTCCATCATGGCACACTGCAAGCCGTGCATCACGCTTTGACTCCTTGGAAGCCCTGGGGCAAGCTCATCCCATTCTCTGTGACTGCATCGGGGTTTCACCTGCTCCCTGGATGCAGACTCATTCCTCGTGAGCCCATGACAAAGCTATTGCTGCTGGAGCAGGACCGGGAGGTGGTGTCAGGGAGAGATCCAAAGGTTGCGGAGGGCAGGGAGTGTGATGCTGCTGCAGGCAGCGGTGGCTGTTGTGCTTCCTCGTGAGTCACCTCCATGGGGTTAGAGTTTCACCAGGAGCACCGGGATGCAGAGCACGATCCGAGGCTGACTCCATCTGAGCTCTGCATCCCCACAGTGGGAACACCATTATGAAGGGCTGGTGTCTCCCTCAGAGAGGAAGATGCTATCTGCTGCCACCCTGGCTGCTGCCCGTGCCAAAGGCCTCCAGGCTGTCTCCAGGTGTGGTGGTGGTGTGTGGTTGATCCCAAGCCCTCCCACGCTGAAGTAATAGTTGGGTATGTCCCAAGAGAAGTCATAAGGTGCCCCTTGGCTCTGGCAGCTTGCAGGGAGCTGGTGAGAGGTGTGCGAAGCCCAGGAAAGCACAGAGGAGGTGGAGGTGCTCCTGGCTTTGCAGCCACACCAGTGGAGTTTAATGATTCAGAGATCCTGGTGTAAATCATTGCCAGGGCTGCAAGCATGTGTGGGATGGGGATGAAGGTGGGTCTGCCTGCAGGGAAGACCATGTGCCCTGGGCAGGCAAGTGCTGGAGCAGGGCTGGAGCAGCCTTTCACTGTGCTGATGGGTGTCCATCTGGATGGGGCTGCCCCCAGCGCCAGGGATGCTGGACCAGAGGCAGAGATAGCAGCAGCTCCTTCTCTGGCCACTGACGTCAGGGTTATTGCTAAAGCAGTGATAAACACATGCTCTGGAGAGCCAAAAGAAGAGCTAATTCAATAGAGACACAGACTTGTATGTCAGGTCTCCTGCTTTAATCTGATTGCTGAGGGATCTGCATAAAACTTCCAGGCGCAGAGATGATGTAGAATTGTAAATCCTGTGCTCTCCCAGGGGTGAGGTGCCCCAGGAAGCCCGGAGAGACTGGGAACAGGCACAAAGGTTCAGACCCCAAGTTTAGATGGAGCTGAGGAACAATTCCTTCCCCACAGGGTGCTCAGGCATTGGAACAGGCTGCCCAGGGCAGGGCTGGAGTCACCGTCCCTGCAAGTGCTCACACAGCGTGGAGGGGAGGCCTCAGTGCCATGGGTTAGGGGTGGCCTTGGCAGTGCTGGGGTACTGAGAGAACCCTGGTACACACATGAGTAAAGCAGGGAGGCTCCAAAGGAGGTCCAAGGCTCTGGTGGAGCTTTGCTTGCAGGGCTCCGGGTTACTCACCCATGGGTGCAGGAAGGGGTTGTGCTCAGAGCTCCACCTCCCCCAGCCGAGGTCAGGAGGGTTCTCTGCCAGGATGCTCTGCCGTGTGCTGGCTGGGAAAGCAGCAGTTTTGCTTTCTCTTCTCCATGCGGGGAGAGGCAGTGCAGGGCAGGCAGCCAGCGCTGCAGGGAGCCCCGCTCTGTCTGCGCCAGGGCTAAAGGAGGAGATGTACAGATTGAGATTTGTTCCTGAGCATTTCCAGGTTAATGGGCAGTGATAGCCACTGCTTGCCTGGGGCAGTGCGGCTCCAGAGAGTGTGGAAAGTTGTTTTGGTGGCATTCTTCCTGGTGCTGGGAAGAGGTTGGTTGTAACACTCCTAAGGATGGCCGGTCTGCATTCTTAGCACATGGTACTGATTGGGTTCCTTTCTAAGCTTGGTGGATATTACAGCCAAGAAGGCAGCAAAGGGTTGCGATGAGAGTGGCGGGCAATGATCTTGCTGCCTTGCTATGTCCTAACGCGCTCCCCACAGACACACTGATACAAGATTCCAGCATTAGCTGCATAAGACGATGTTATCACAGCCACTGCAATGACAGCTGCATAGCCTTTGCTTCACACCATGCGCTAACCATTGCTTCCCATCTCTTCCCAGAGCTCACCGCCGGCCTGGGGAGGGGACCACATGCCTGCTAGCAGGACTGCAGCCTCCCAGACCTGAGCCATGCTGTAAGGTGGGGACACCCAGCCAGCAGCGAGAGCAATGGCCCAGTCTCGTACCAACGGCTCGCACTATGCCCTGACAGCGATAGGGCTGGGGATGCTCGTCCTCGGCATCATCATGGCTGTGTGGAACCTGGTCCCTGGCTTTGGCCCCGACAACAAACCAACCACCCATGCTGGGAACAGCAGCAAGCCCGACCGTGGCAACGGGGGCATTTTGAAGAGCAAGACCTTCTCGGTGGCGTACGTGTTGGTAGGGGCGGGCGTGCTGCTGCTGCTGCTCTCCATCTGCCTCAACATCCGGGACAAGAAGAGGCAGAGCGAGGACATTGTTCGCGTGCAGCACCAAGTGTCTGTGGAGCCCTCGCACCAGGAAGACAGGTAAGCCTTTAGGGAGTGGGGCTGAGCAAAGGAATGAAGCCAAGGGCTGCTGTTCTTCCCTAAGGAGGTCCGGAGCAAGGAGCGTAAGGCTGGGAGGGCTGCAGTAAGAGAGCAAGTGTCATGGTTTGGGGTTCAAACCTATGGGGATGAGGAAGGAATCACTCCAGCTGTACACACGGTGCTGTAGGTGAAAGGGAGCGTTGTTTGTGTGGAGGCTGGGGTCTGGATGGAGCCGTGGCCCAGCCAGCCGTGCCACTCCTGCCTTTGTCACTGCACAGGCATTGTGCTGAGGGGGAATGCTGCCGGCACTGGTTAATGATTAACGCAGGAGAGCAGCCTGGTGCTGCAAGCCAGGCCAGCCGGGCCAGTGATGGTGGTGGAGGGGAGCAGGGCATGGATGGAGAACGGGTTGTGTCTCATTGGGTGCAGCCAGAGGTGCCAAGGAGCCTTTCAGCTATGGCTGGGAATGGAGTTTAGACCTCGTGAAAGCCTGCAGGGCTCTTCTCTTTGCTCAGGGAGCTCCAGTGAGTAGAGCAAAGGCTGCTGCAGCAGGCACAGGCTGAGCAAACACAGGGTGCAGAAGTCCCCATCCATCTCAGCCATGCAGGGAATCAGCACAGTCCCTGGTGCAAGCTGTGGCCAAGCAGAGAGAAGCAGGAGGGCAATGGGACAACAGAGGGTGTGAGGAGACAGGAGATGATGGCTGCTGCATAGGGAATGCTTTGGGGGAAAGCGTTCTCCAAATCTGTGACTGCAGAGAATTCTTCTCTGCAGATAAGAAAACCCAGGAAAAAAAAAACAGAAAACTGGGTATCCCTATTGGATTGTAAAGGTAACTTCAGGCTGCAAAAGATATTTATCTGTGCAGGCTATGTGCTGGTACTTTTGGCATAGGGGTTAAAGTCTTGCGGAGCTGAATTTGTTTGCAGAAAAGGTAGCTATCTAGCTCAAAAGGCATTGGAATGGGAAAGACAGAGGGTGATGTCTCTTTCAAATGCAGTTTGACTGATTTTTGAGAAGGGGAGGAGAGAAATCAGTTCTGCCGGGGGCAGAAATCACTGCTGTGCAATAGAAAAAGAGGTTTTAAGGGCAAAGGAAGTGATGACCAAATATTGGTGTACGTCACGAGGAAATAAAAACCTGTCTGAATGTAGGTGGGGTTGTGATCTGTTCTGTCAAACAAAAAGGAACTCATCCAGAGGAGGCCATGGAGATGCTGCGAGGGCTGGACTGGATGAGCTTTAAAGTCCCTTCCAACACAAACCAGGCTGGGATTCTAGATAACATAGACAGGAAAACAATTTGTTAAAGGTCTGCAGAGGGGGTCCAACCCGTCTCCACACAAAGCTGATGTGCTGCTGACAGCCTAATTTCTTCCCATCTAGCCAAGAAGAGGACGACGACACATCTTCCCAGTACTACGTCCCCAGCTACGAGGAGGTGATGAACACGGGCTACTCTGAGCCCAGAGACTTGGACAGGAGCACCAGGATCAGCGTCTCCCTTCCCTCCTACGAGTCACTGACGGGGCTGGATGACAGCACCTCGGCACCCGGCGCTGCGAGCACGGAGCCAGGCACGGAGCAGCCGCCCGGGCGGCACAGCTCCCGCCTCAGCAAGCGCCTGAAGCCGCTCAAGGTGCGCAGGATCAAGTCAGAGAAGCTGCACCTGAAGGACATCAGATTAAACCTGGCCCAGGGGAACAGCACTGCCCCTATCACGATAGAGCCGCTCACCCCCCCACCCAAGTACGAGGACATCCAAGAGAAGGTGCCAGGGAGCCAGCAAATGACTTAAACCCTCACCAAAAAAAGAGGGAACCTGTGATGCAGCTGGGATTTGGGGGACTTGGGGGGGGTTAAAACAACCACACTAAGAGGGGCTTGGTCTGTGGGTGCAGAAGTGGTCAGGGCTTCCTGGAAGCTGCAATGTGGAGAATGCAGTAGGTGCATAGTGCTGCAGCGTGAGGACGGGGTGAGTTTTCCCTTGTTACAGAAGACTGTGGGGAAAGAGACCTGGATGCCAGTGAGTCTGCTGCTGTGAAGTAAATGAAGGCTGCAAGCGCCAGAAGTGTCATTTGTGGTGGTTTTACATAAGGACTACCCAGCGTGGTTCCACTCTGGATTCCTCAGTACAGGAAAGACGTGGACCTATTGGAGAGGGTCTAGAGGAGACCACAGAAATGAGCCGAGGGCTGGAGCACCTCTGCTGTGAGGAGCGGCTGAGAGAGTTGGGATTGTTCAGCTGGAGAAGACTCCAGGAGACTTTATTGCAGCTTTTCAGTTCTTAAAAGGGGCCTGTAAGAAACATGAGGAGAGACTTTTTAGCAGGGTGTGTTGTGATAGGATGAGGGGTGATGGGTTTAAATTAAAAGAGGGAGATTCAGGCTGGATGTGAGGAAGAAATCCTTTACACTGAGGGTGGTGAAGCACTGGCACAGGTTGCCCAGAGAGGTGCTGGATGCCCCATCCCTGGAGACATTCCAGGCCAGCCTGGATGTGGTTCTGGGCAGCCTGGTCTAGATGAAGATGTCCCTGCATTGCAGGGGGTTGGACTGGATGAGCTTTGAAGGTCCCTTCAACCCAAACCATTTTATGATTCTATTCTATGATGTACCTTTTCACCTCCTTTTCTCCTTACCCCCAGCAAGACGTTTCCAAGTCACTAAACTGATATTGAACAAGGATTTTCCAAGTGGAAAAGGAAAATGTTCTTTTTTTTTTTCTTCTTTTTTGGCATCTTTTCTGTCTGAGTAAGGGTAACTGCATTGCCAGAATTCACTGCAGCTTCTTCCAGTCTGGGGCTGGGATGGTGGCCTGGAGCCAGCCCAAACTCCTGCCAAGGTCTGTGCTTGTTGGTGGGAGCTCAGAAACAGGCCCTGTGCTCCTCGGGAGGGGATGGATTTCTTGCCTTGCTTGTTTTCTCTGTTGTGTTTTGTGTTCTGATGCAAAGGGGTGTTTGGAGGATGGATCCAGGGGGTTGGGAGCTGGTGTGCGGCTGCCAGGAGGTGCATTGCAGGGCGCAATGACTGCTGAGCATCCTGAGCAGACCTGCTCTAAATAAACACTTTGTACCTTGTGTTTGTGTGTGTTACACTCTCGTGCATGGCTATGGCCCTCTCCGAGCTTTGCAAGTGGTCCACAACGTTTCAGAGTGGATCCTGCTCCATGGGTATCCCGGCCATGTGCTGCATCCCAGGCTTCCAGCAAAGCGATCCATGACAAAGTCATCATGTTCAGGCAAGGGCTCTCTCATATGGTCTGAGTGTTGGTGGTGTGGGTGGAAAGCAGGATCTCCCAAGGATGTTTAGCTGGTGTTGGTGTAGCCAATCTGCCCTCTGCCTCTTGCTGCTGGTACCATGTGGCTTTGCTGGGGTGATGCTGATGTTGTAGTTACGGGTTGTACAGCAGATCTTGACTTGGCAGTATGGTTGACCAGAATGAAGATAAAGGGGAAATGCTGGCCCAAACCCATCTAGCAGTTTCTCTCATTAGCTGTTATTTCACATTGCATCTCTTCTGTTGTCACGGGGCAGGATTTTCACTTTCCTGTGCCCCAAGGCATGATCTCAGATGGGCACAGTAACATGGTTGACCAGGGGGCTTCCTTACTAAAGGGAAGGAAACCAGTAGCAGAATGTAACCTGGATTGAGGGAGTGGAAGGTGTCCGTGCCCATGGCAGGGGGTTGGAACTGGGTGAGCTTTAAGGTCCCTTCCAACTCAAACCAGTCTGGGATTTGAGGTCTGGGGGATTCCCATGTTATTCTTGTTGAAAGGTTGCAAAGGTGGTGCAGGTCCTTGGAAGTTGCCTCCCAGGCACGTGTGCCCCTAAGAGCCTGTCTGGTGGGAGGCAAGGCATGAGGTCCTCTCTCCCTGGTGAAGAAATGCAACCCTAACAGTTCTCTTGGGAAATCTGGGTTAATAAAATGAAGCTTCTTGTCTGAGTCATTGGTTTCATCGAGCTTCTTTTCCAGAAAGTCCTGTTGAATGAAACTGACTGGCACAAGCAGCATCTTTCCCAATGTCTCGTGTAGGAAAAGAGCTGGAAAACTGGTGTGAAGTGCAGTGACTACAGTGAAACAGGCCGTGACTAATGCAGTCATTATGCCAAAAATGCCCAAATGGCTAATGAGCATCTCCTGCCTCTTGCATACTTGTCCTTTGGTATTTGGAAAGCAGAGGGAGATATGGGATGCTGAGAAGTGTGAGTGCTCCCAAAGACCCATGCTGGTAGGTGAGAAATGGATGTACTTCCCCATGTAGCGTGGAAGGTTGCACGTAGATCTTGGATCAGTATCTCTGGAAGGTAACTTGTTTTCCATGTCAACCCACAAGATGGGCAGACCTGGTATTAATGCAACTGAGGAAACACATAGTGTTATGCTCCAGCTGGACTGGGGCTGGAAAACCTCAGCTGCTCTGTTGAAGGCAAAGCACTTGGAAGGAGATTAAGGGACGAAAATGCTGGTAGTGGCAGCCAACATTGAGGCGTGTGCTCAAGTACGGTTTGCAGAGTTCTGTGTAAAACCTGCTGCTTCTGCCTCAAAATGAAGCATGGTAAAGTCTTACAGGACTCACTGTTCTCCTGCATGTGTTTCGCGTGCAGCTCCCCTCTATTCCAAGACCTGCTTGTGCATGCATGCACAAGAACCATAGACTGGTTTGTGTTGGAAGGGACCTTAAAGCTCCTCCGGCTCCACCCCCTGCCACGGGCAGGGACCCCTTCCACTGGAGCAGCTTGCTCCAAGCCCCTGGGTCCAACCTGGCAATTAATAACGAATAAATAAAGGCGGGGAGCAGGACTAACAATGTCCTGCCAGGCTGTGCCCCCGGGAGGTCTGTGATGTGTGTCACGGGCCGGCCGGGACCGCCGCGCGGAGCTGTGTTGTGCTGCTGGGTCAGTTGCTTGGGAAAAGGAGGAGGAAAAATCCACCTCAACCAAAACAAAGAGCAAACACACCCCGGAAGCAGCGGCTCCGGCGCGGCTGAGGTTTCCAAGGCTACTGAGAGGCTCTGGCCAGCCGGGAGCAGGGCTGCCTTTGGGGTGATTTCGTGTGATTTCTGGTGTGTAACGTGGTGAAGAAGTTCCGTGCTCAGCTGTGTGTGTTGGGTGGGGATCGCTGAAGGAGGAGCTGTTTTTCATGCAAGGTGAAGGGGCTGGATGATGAGAGCCTTCCTGAGGAGCTCAGAGGGGTGTTTTCAGCTGAAACCACACACCACGATCATCGGCCGGCACGAAGGGTCCGACATCGTCCTGCAGGTAGGGGCAAGGCAGCTGAGTGGTGTAAATGAGTCCTGATTTGGAAGCAGGGAGCAGGATGCCCATGGCAGGGGTTGGAACTGGATGATTTAAAGTCCTTTCCAACCCAAACCATTCTATGATTGTCTGCGCTGTGGTCATCAGTGCAAAGAATAAGGGCTTCTAGCCTGCCTATGCTGGGTATCCAGCAAGAAGAGGGGATATTGCAAATCAGTAACCAGAGCAGAGCTGCATTCCATCATGTTTCTCTTGCTTGCCTCTTGGTTGCCAGTCTGCAGGTGTAGCCCAGCATCACGCAGCCCTCAAATTCACTGCCTCGGACAACAGTTTCTGCCTTCAGGACCTCAACTCCCCCCATGGCACCTTCATCAACGGCTGCCAGGTCCAAAATGCAGCTGTCAGAGTGAGCCCAGGCGATGTCCTGCGCTTCGGCAAGGGGGGAGCAGCCTTCGAGCTCGTGGTGGATGGGGCTGCCCAGGTAAGGATGAGAGCTGCTGCCCAGGGAGCAGGAGCAGGCTCCCAGGCTTGTCTGGTTTATCAGGGGCTGTAGAGATAGGACAAGGGGTGATGGGTTCAGACTGGAACAGGGGAGGTTCAGGTTGGAGATAAGGCAGAAGCTCTTCCCTGTGAGGCTGCTGAGGCGCTGGCACAGGGTGCCCAGAGAAGCTGTGGCTGCCCCATCCCTGGCAGTGTTCAAGGCCAGGTTGGACACAGGGGCTTGGAGCAAGCTGCTCTAGTGGAAGGGGTCCCTGCCCGTGGCAGGGGTTGGAGCTGGAGGAGCTTTAAGGTCCCTTCAAACACAAACCAGGTTGGGATTCCCTGATCCTTGGAAAAAGATGGAAGGGGAGGAATGAAAAGCTTGAGCTCCCTCTGCTGAAGAAACTCAGGCAGTTTATTAGGGAAAAGGAAAAGGGAGCAGATTCCCAACTGGAAGCTGGACATGAGCAAGCATAGGTCTGGAAAATGTCTTTATTTTTTTTCCCCCTCTATTTGCATTTTATGTCTCCTCAAAAGCTGCTTACTGACAGAGGAGGTGAGCTTCAGATCAGACCTTTAGAGCAAGTGAAAAGGTCCAGCCCTGATGGACGCTTTGCTTGGCAGCCGCACGTGTAACTGGAGCTATCATGGTCTGTGCAGCAGGGCCAAGGCATCACAGCGACTTTGGCATGCAAGAGATTGCAAAGCAGCTGTCAGCTGGGACAGAACGTGGTCGAACGCAGTGGCAGTTTCCAATCTCCAGGAAAATAACTGTCCGTGGAGGTTGTTGAGCCTTTGGGTTATGAAACAGTTAAGGATTGGTGAGTTCCAGTGTTGGTTTTATTATCTGGGCTCTTGAGGAAGCCAAGAAAATAGATAATAAGAGCCCAAGAATATGTGTGTGTCACGTGCCTGGTAGTGAGGAGTCATGGAGCCTGGTCTCCCAGCAGAGAAAACTCGCTTGGAGCCTGTACATCCAGATATGCAGTTTTGGAGGTCTCAGCGAGAATCCCAGCCCAGCAAACAGACCTCCTGCCCCCAGAGCTAGCCAAGAGAACTGTAGAAGATGCTCAGCTGCAGGATGAAGCCCGGGCAGTGGGGTGCCAGCCCTGGTTGGGTGAAACTGGTTAGTGCTGGAGGAGGGAGCACTTGAATCTCTGACAGCATGTGTGTCGGATGCACACAGACCAGTGGTTCTGAACAGTGACACAGAGGAAGCCCTGGGGGTACTTCTGCATTGCTGTGGCTTTGTGATCTTTTTCTGGTGAAATAGCTTTGAAGCCTGACCCTGCTGACTGCAGAGTGCATCACCTCAGCACTGCACCCTGTGAAGCCTTTGTGGTTCTGACACAGGGAGGTCTCTCTCATTCTCAGCAGCGTGAGAGGAACTCACAGTGTTGTGAAGATGAGCAGCACCCAGAGAGGAGTCACATCCCTGCGGTACCCTGGAGCACAGAACAAGTGCCCACAGGGGCATTGCAGGTGCTGGAGTAGTGGGAGAAGAGCTGGGTGACGGAATTCTGCCTCCAGGCCAGGTCTAAGGCCATGTTCAGCCTTTGTAATTGAAGGCTACATGTAAGCAATGTACGAGACCTTGGTGGTGGAAGCTCTGCTCATAAGGAGGACAGCAAATAGCAGCATGCAAAGCCCTGTGTAAGGGCTGATAAATGCAATGGCAAGGTAGGAGTGCCACGAGAAGCTTTAGATCAGCACAGAAAATTGGAGAAATGGCAGGGTAGGAGCTGTGAGCCAGGAGAGGTGTGGAATGAGGGCTTCCAGGTTCTGCAAATGATGTGGACAATTATGGTTGTCAGCTCAAGAGAGGAAGGGAAGAGATCCAAAAGCAGCAAAGCCCAGTATTTCAGTTGCATTCCAGCAAAGCATTTGGGCTTCCTGAGCTAAGTCTGACCCTTGGGGAATGGAAATGGGAAAGGACTAAAATTCTGCTTCACCTCAGATCTGTGCCTGGGTTTAGGCCTGATAACGTTCACAGACCCTTGCTGATAACACTGTCTTTTTCCACCATAGGTGTCTGATCTCCCCAGGAAGCATTGCACAGGGTGGACTGGGCAGGTCCAGGTGGTTGCAGAGCCCAAACCCTCGACTCCTACATCTCCTGCCCAGCTCCCCTTGCTGCAGCGGCAGCATCCCCCTGGCTCTCCAGGCAGATGGGCTCCCGGAGCTACCGGCCGCGTGTCCCATCCACTGCTGTGGAAGCCACCCAGGAGCGCCTGGGCTCGGAGCATGGCCACCACCGTCTCCCTGGATGCTTTCAGCAGGACCTCAGCAGTGAGGGCAGGTACTCCCCAATGCAACATGGTGGTTTATAGCCTGATGTCCTCTCTGAGCAGCTTAATGTTGAGTGGAGTTGATGTGAGTGGTGGCAGTTGTGATCCGAGCATTGACAGCTACTGGGTGTGAGTCCTTGTCCAGTGGAGATCCGTGATGTGGTACTAGGTGGCATTTGGATTGGTTAGGCAACGAGCTGTGACATGCAAAGGGGAATGCCATTGCACCTCCGGCTGAGAGGGACTTTTCCTCTTCCTTCTTCCTCGTGTGTGATGACTAACTCTCTCTGCACTGGTGATTCATGCACCTATTTCTGTCTCCTGATTGAAGTGGTGTTTTTGTCTACTTTGAAGCACAGTTTCTGGCTGTCTTGAGTGCTGGAGCTTTAAACTAGGTCTGTAGTTGATACGCTTCTGAAAATCAAGTATGAAATGGTGACGGAGCAGAGGCAGGGAGTGAGGGAAGAGTGCAGCTGGAGAACAAAGCTTTTGCTGCACATGGAGTTTGTTACAGCTTCATACAGAGTCCAGTGGTTTTCCTGGTTTAGGGTTGAGTCTTTTGAAGAGTCAGAAGTAATACAAGAAATCTGCTAAAAACCCAGAGAGGGGCTTGGGACAAGGGCCTGTAGGGACAGGCCAATGGGAATGGCTTTAACCTGCCCGAGGGGAGACTGAGATGAGCTCTTAGGCAGAAGCTCTTCCCTGTGAGGGTGCGGAGGCGCTGGCACAGGGTGCCCAGAGAAGCTGTGGCTGCCCCATCCCTGGCAGTGTTCAAGGCCAGGTTGGACACAGGGGCTTGGAGCAAGCTGCTCTAGTGGAAGGCGTCCCTGCCTGTGGCAGGGGTTGGAACCTGAGGAGCTTTAAGGTCCCTTCCAACCCAAACCAGGCTGGGATTCTATGGATACAAAGTCAATTGTGGTATATTGAAGTACCACTGGTGCCCCAGAGCACTGTGGAGTCCCACAGGTGTGTGCACAGGCAGAACTTGAACCTGCAGTGAAGGTACAGAAATGAAGCTGCTGCCTTTGAGGCATTTTTGGTTCCCAGAGGTGTATTATGCCTTGCTATTGTGCAGACTGTTTGCATTCTGTCTTTTTAGTGCCAAATTGGTTTCTCTGCTGGTTGTGACCCAAAAGTGTAAACTAGTCACTGCCTTACAGTAGTTTTGAGACTAGTGAGAGTGATGCTGCAAGAAGCATTACTTCTGCCTGCTCATGCTGATGTTCGTTGGCATCACATTTGCTCTTTTCCAGTCTCAACCAGCGTCTTGAGTGATGGTGTGAGCGGCGTGGGGAGAGCCCCTTCCCTGGGAGCTCAGGATACAGAAGAGAAGGTGAAGGTGATGCTGGGGAAGGTGTGAGGGATGCTGACCCTGTCCTGGTCCTTGGCAGAACCTTGCCCAATGGTTGTGTGTCCAATCACGAGTCCCTGCAGAGTCTGCTTTCCTGGATGGGGACTGATGTGTGGATAGAGGATGTGGGCACAGCCAGGGCGAGCAGGTCTCATGTGGTTGGTGGCCAGGAGTTGGTCCCTGCTGGTGTTGTGGTAGCTCCAGGCTGGCAGATGGCACCCTTAATCTCCCCACAGGGTGAGAAGGAGGAGATGGGTCCCCTCTCTGGTTTGGAAACAGAATCGAAGCAGAAAGATGCAGCAATAAGAGATCTGCAGGAGGAGATTGCAGCGATGGCAAAGACCTTGGCTCAGGTGGTGGCAAGGAATGAGGTGGAGCTGACCCAGAAGCTGCTTGCCTTTGACCAAGAGCTGGAAGCCAAAGCAGAGCTGATCAGAACCTTGAGGGAACAGGTACTGAATAACACCCTGTTGTGAAGAGGAGCTTTTGCTGAAAGCTGGTGCCTGGCAGAGGAAAGGTGATGGAATTCTGGGTTGCTGTTGGCAACTCTGCTGTGGCTGCACAGAGGTGTGATACTGTGCGGTGCCTGTCTTCCCAGCAGCTTCCCTTTCTCTGGACTGAATCTAAGGTGACCCTATCTGAAGCAGTGACTGCTGAGAGTTACTCAGAGATGCTGAAGAGTAACCCATCAGACCTGGAAGCCTGGATATCAGGTAGAAAATGGCCTGCCAGGGAACATGGGCAAATCTGTGTTTTGCAGATCAACAGCCTAGAGAAGGGCTCTAGCCAGGTTTTCAGCCATTCCCTCCATGAAAGAGACCTGGAGATTGGGAGGCTGCGGAAAGAAAGCGAGAAGTTGAAGCGAGACCACGCTTTGACTGCAGGTATCATGTCCTTGGGGCTCAGGAGGAGCATGAAGCCGTTTGGGACTGGCTCTTGATAATGAGTGAGCACTGGCAAATGCTTTATAGTGACCCACAGAAGTCTTCTGACCTGGTTTCTGAGTCCTGAAGCTCGGTGGGAGTTGTGGATGGTGTCTGATGTGACAAGTGCCCCTGGAGCAAGGGACACGATGGGCATCATAGGCAGGGAGTGATGGGACCAAGCACCCTGGTAGGGGAAAACAGCCTCATGTGGTGATCAGGGGAGGCTGAAAGTGACGCTGTTCAAGGGCTGCCATGCACACTGGTGGGGAGACCTGACCCCCAAGCTGCTGTGGACCTTCATGTGGCTGCAAAGGCCACCCCAAACCAGAAGCCTTTCCCGATGGCTTCTATCCCTGCCTTTATCAGGCACGAGGAATGCAGTTGGTGCACAAAGCATTGGCTTTTGCAATGTATTCAGATCAGAATCAGAAGTGTTCTGCCTGGTTGCACTGGCGGAGATAAGGGAGCAGTATGGGCTCTTGGCAGGGAGGAGGCGTCAGAGACATGGATCTGATACAGCCAAGCAGCAAACACTAATCCCTAGAAGCTGCTCATCCCTCTGGGAGTATGTGCTGTGAGGCCCCAGGGAACTTGTTAGTGACTCTGACTAACTAGTTAGCTAGTCAAAGAGCAATGTCCAACACAGCATGCCAAAACCTGGACCCGCTTCCCAAGGTGGATGGTTGTTGAGGAGGGAGGACGGATGCTCAGGGGTTTTGGCAGGGATGCTCTTGGGTAACCTATGTTCTGTGTTCTCCCAGGCCTAGTGACCAGCCTGCAAAGGGAGATTGCTGGGAAGGAGCAGAAAATCCAGCAACTCCAGCAAGAGGCTGAGAAAGTGAAGAAGGAGACCAGAGCAAAGGACAATCAGCTGGCAATGCTTTCTGCCAAGGTTGACAGTGTGACTCACATAGGGGTTAACACGGGAAAGCTGAGAAGGGTCACACTTCTCCCTGTTGTAGCAGCTGGAGTGGATATTTTTTAGGGCAGTTGTAACCCAAGGGTCCTGGCTGTCTGCACGTGGAGGGTGCAGAGCTGTACCTCTGGCTCTGCTGTGATGGGGACACAGGGCAGTGTCACCTTCCCCAGCTGAATCCCTCTCCTTGTTCTGCATTCAGGTGCTGTGTGCCCTGGATTCCTGTGAGCACAGTAGCTGTTTGTACTCCTGAAGTGCTTGTGCCAAGATCCTCCTGAGGAGCCATGGAAACCCCTTCATGTGGCTCCCTGTGTCCCAGCCTGTTTTCCCCCTTTAAACTCAGCAGGTTGTTTCTCTGTGTTTGCAGCTCCCTCCTCAGCTGGCAGAGCTGCAGGATCTGCATAATGAGTGTAGAGCAGTGCTCCGAAGATGAATGATGTGCCCTGCTTTGCTGAGGAGCAGCACTTTAACTGGTGGCAAGGGGATGACATGCTCTTTTCATTTCACATGAGCTTGACATGACCATAGGTGGATGTTGCTGGGTCCCTGGACTAGCCCCACTCTGCTTAGGCAGCTCATAGTCAAATGTAAGGTCCTTTGAAGCAGATAAACTGCTCCCAGCAGGATGAGTTGTCTGGGTCCTAGATCTCTATTCAAGCTCAGTCACCCTGAGTGCAGTGTGATCAGAGTGTGATATCCTCAACTTCTTTGGACACAGAACCTAAAGGAGCTACAAGAAACCCAGAGAGCGGCTTTGGAGAAGGGCCTGTAGGGACAGGCCAATGGGAATGGCTTTAACCTGCCAGAGGGGAGACTGAGATGAGCTCTGAGGCAGAAGCTCTTCCGTGTGAGGGTGCTGAGGCGCTGGCACAGGGTGCCCAGAGAAGCTGTGGCTGCCCCATCCCTGGCAGTGTTCAAGGCCAGGTTGGACACAGGGGCTTGGGGCAAGCTGCTCCAGTGGAAGGGGTCCCTGCCCGTGGCAGGGGTTGGAGCTGGATGGGCTTTAAGGTGCCTTCCAACCAAAACCTTTCTATGGTTCTCTAAGCGCTTGAGCTGTTCTGTGCAGGAGGGGGACCAGGTCTCCCAGGTAAGCATCCTGCTCTGGTGGCCCAGGTTGCTTGTATTGAGGCAGGGAGCATGTCCCAGAGCATCCCTCTGCATTTTCCCCTGCTCTGTGGATGCAGGAACATCCAGTTAGACAGGAGCTGCACACACAGGCTTGCAGGAGAGGGTGCTCCGGGCAGGCAGAACAGAGCACAGATTCCTTGACTGCCGAGCTGCCAAGCATATTCTGACAGTGATCAGCCTGGAAATGTCTGTTAATGTCATGTTCTGCTATGGATGTTCTGAGGTAGCATTTGTTTTCCTGCATCCTTCCCCCTGTCTCTCTTCTACGGCTTCTAAGGCCAGAGTAATTTCTCCCTGTCAGCTATGCCCTGCAGATGTTTCTCCTCCTCTCAACCAGGTGATGCTTTAATGGTGGTGGTTTCATATAGGCAGTTCCAGGCATGGATACTCTTGTGCTCTGATGCCTTGATGGCCCCATCAAGGGCACTTGGCCATTCCATTAAGATCTAAGCACGGAGCTTGGCTTTAGCACTCAAGTATCTGTTGACATTTGCTGTAGTATCTGCCTGCCCTGAAGGTGTTTTCCTGTGTTGCCATTCATTCCAGTGCTCTAGAATCCGAGAGGAAATGAAGCAGGAACTCGGAGATCGGGAAGTAATGGCATGCCAGAATGTGAGTCTGAATTCATTTGGAGTGATGGAGCACACAGGAGAACTGCAGGAAAGCATCATCCAGGGAATAATTAACTGGGCATTTTAAGGGAGGTGTTTTGAATCCAGTTCCTGTAAGAAAGGAATGAACTGGAGAAGCGTTAATCATAGCACTGGATTGCAGTGCAGGCGGGTGCAGTCAGAAAGAAGGGTGGAATTCCACCGGAAAGTTGATCAAACCAAAGTAAATATAGGCAAGAAGGAAATTCCAGAGCACACAAATGGGATGGATGGGGAAAATGTATGGCTTACTGGTTCAAGTCCTCCCAAGAGGCAATGCCCAGCCTCTCTGGTGAGACCCTCACCATCATGGGACTCTTGCAGCGCATCAGGGAGCTGGAACATGACCTGGAGAGGCTGCAGGGGGAAATCCGGAAGTACTGCATTGAGCAGGAGAGCATCCGAAGCCAGCTGGCTGAGAAAGCCAAGGTAACAGCGTGGATGTGAGGTGTGTGGTGGAGCACACGTGTCGTGTGGGATAGCAGCAAGCCCTGGGAATGCAGGATGTATGGAGACTGGATCCAAGTGCGTAGAGCTCTTCCACAGACCCCACTGGGAGAACCTAGCTCGGGCAGCAGACCATAGGGTAGAAAGTTGAGGATGGATGATGTCCAAAGAGGAAAAGTGGCTTTAAGGGTCTGATGCCACGAACCCACCCCCTGCGAAAGGGTTGCTGCTGCTATGCTGGTATTGCAAAGCCACGCTTGGAGCCGGCTGATGTGAGCAGTGTGCAGCTGGGGCAGGAGTCCTCAGGATGCGATTCCAAAGTATTGCTTTGATGTGCAAATGCTCTCGTTGCTGCAGGCTGAGGAGGAGCTGAGGGAAGCCGGAGCCAGGCAAGCTCTGCAGCTGCAGGAGATGGGGCGCAGGGAGCGCCTGCTGCGAGCCGACCTGGCACGGGCCAAGCAGCAGGTAGGGATGGGAGCAGGGATGGGAGCAGCAGCAGCAAAACCATGGGGTTACAAACAGGGAAGGTCATTGTGCTCCGGTGCAGGCAAAGGTATAGAGTCCTGAGCACCAAACCCTGGCACAGGGCTTAGTTGTGGTCAGATGCAGCGTGGCAGGCTTATCCACAGGATTTGTGTAGAAGCTGTAATAGGATACAGAAATGCACTGTACTATGTGTAATCACAGTTCTCCTGTCCAGGACCTATGCAAATCCTCCTCTGTGCCTCTGCAGAGGCAGCCCTTTGCAGAGTAACATCCTGCTACATCCCCAGGATAAAGCTGTGCTTCACGCAAGAAGGAGATGCCACCTCCCCAGTGTGGAGTCCTGTTAGCTGGAATCTGTTAGGAATCGCACTCCCTGAGAGGCCCAAAAAGCTCTGAGGAGTTTGATCACACATTTGGAAAATAACCCTGGGGTTTGTGCAGAGTAGAGCCCAAGGGCTGATGGAGGCTTTTGGGTCTGCCATGTGGGTTAGCACAGGGATGGATGGCTATGGGAGCACCAGCTGCAATGCATAAAGCATAATACATAATACATAAAGCACTAAGCTGGTGGGAATGGTTGTTGTCATCTCCTGCAGAGAGGCTGGGGGTGGCATCCTCTGCCTGCCCTGGCTGTTTCAGAGGAGGAAATAAGTGTCAGCCATGGGAAATCCCTGCTGGAAAGTGGGATGGAGTATCCGCCTGGCACAGGCGCTCTGTCCTGTGCGGTGTGCACCGGTCCTCTGCCATGGGAATCCTCCCACAGCGGTAGAAGTACAGCAGGAGGCATTCAGGACATTGTCAAGGGATGTCTGGAGGAGGGCAGGAACCTGCATGGGGCCTCCTGTTGGAAATGGCAGACACCAGGACACCCTTGGCATTGATGGGTTGGGCAGAGCGGATCAGCAGAGAGAAGTGATCGGTGATTTCTCTTCCCGTGTTGATCTCTGCTGTAGCTGGAGTCCTTCAAGACCCAAGTGATGCGAGTCTGTTCTCCAGCAGCAGCAGGAAAAGCCATCACAGAGCAGCAGGTGAGTTTGGATGCCAGTGCATGGAGATGGTGCCTTCAAAGCCTGGCACGGCTTGAGACAGTCGTGGTGCCTGTTATGTATATTAGTAGTGTCCAAGCCTCTCCAGGTCATAGGTTGTTCCACAGCTATCCCAGGTTAACAACACTGCTCTGTGATACAAAGGAGATAAGATCCTTTTTGTGCTCCCAGCTTGGTTTGGGTCAGTGGGCTCTACCAGGGCTCTGACATGGCAAAGAGTGTGCAGCAAGCTCCAGTTGCTGCTTGCTGGGACAATCTATGTCCTTCAGGTGGAAAGGGTGTTAATGTAGTGCCTTGTTCTCCTCTTCCTTCTGCTTTGCCAGGTGATAGAGAAGGTCAGACAGGTTTGTGACGAGAGCCAACAAAGTAATGAGAGAGAGAAGTGTCTGCAAGAGGAAATCAGCTCCAGGCTTGCAAAGGAAAAGGAAGTGTCTGCAAACGCCGAGGTGTTCAAGAAGTGCCTTCAGGAGCTCCAGGTCAGCCTGTTCAATCTTGGTGATCAACTGGCAGGAGATGAGCAACACAGGGCAGTTTTCTTGGCCTGAGTATAGGTCAGAGAAAAGGGAGGCCGTGTCTGGGCACCAGTCAGTTTGCAGCAATCCATATCCATGAGAATGAAGCCCCAAAAGTGCAAGCTGGAAAGAAACATGAGGTGTTGCAGAAGCGTCTCTGCTCCTGAGCCTGCTGGGAGTCGTTCCCACCAAGGATAGCATAGAATGGTTTTGAAGGGATCTTAAGATCATCCAGCTCCACCCCCTGCCACGGGCAGGGACCCCTTCCACTAGAGCAGCTTGCTCCAAGCCCCTGTGTCCAACCTGGCCTTGAACACTGCCAGGGATGGGGCAGCCACAGCTTCTCTGGGCACCCTGTGCCAGCGCCTCAGCACCCTCACAGGGAAGAGCTTCTGCCTTATCTCCAACCTGAACTTCCCGTTTCACTTTGAACCCATCACCCCTTGTCCTGTCCCTAATGAGGAGTCCCTCTGCAGCATCCTTGTAGTCCCCTTCAGACCCTGGAAGCTGCTCTGAGGTCTCCACGCAGCTTCTCTTCTCCAGGCTGAACAGCCCCAGTGTTTTCAGCCTGTCTTCATATGGGAGGTGCCTCCCAAACCGTGGCCTCCTCTGAACTTGCTCCAACAGCTCCATGTCCTTCTGATGCTGAGGGCACCAGAACTGCACACAGTGCTGCAAGTGAGGTCTGACAAGAGCAGAGCAGAGGGGCAGGATCCCCTCTCTGACCTGCTGCTCATGCTCTGGGGGTGCAGGCCAGCGCAGTGAAGCTGGGTCATGTTCTTTTCCTCATTAACCAGCCCATATCACCCCATGGGGTGTCACACAGAAGTGTTCACATGGCTGTACCCAGGGCTTTTCAGGGCTGTTGTGTTCATTGCCAAGCCCCAGCAGCCCATTGATCCAGCTTGGTCACTGGGTGCATTTGTTCCAGGCTCACCTGAGCAGGTCCTGCAGCAGCGCCAGCCTGCGAGGGGAGCTGGGGAAGCTGGAAGCAGTGTGCCTGGATCCCTCCATCTCCACCATTGGGGTGGCAGCGGTGGAAATGGCACGTGTGCTCCTGTCCTGGCTGGAGGCAGCAGAGCAGCTCCTGGCTGGTGTGGGGATGGACCTGCACAAAGGTCTGTGTCCTGCTGCTGTCCCTGGGAACAAACCTGCTCCAGGTGGGATGTCCTCCATAGCCTCTGTGAAGGAGAGAGAGTCCAGTGTGAGCTGAGCTTGGGGGTGCCAGGCCCCCAAGCTGGTGCCAGTCTCAGGCAATTTGGGCAACTAAGAAGCCTGCTCAGGCAGCGCGCATGCTCCTATTGCCTACCTCTGCAGCACTGTCACCCAGCTTGGTGTGACCTACCCCCACAGGGCTCTGGGGGGGTTGTCTGTGAGGTGCAATGTCTGCTTGGGCAAACCCCATCTATTGACATCATGGTTATGCCATCAAAGTGGGATTTGCCTTAGTGGTATATGGGAAACACTTGTGCTGGCGGAGATCTGAACCCTTGTCTCGAGGTTCCACATTGCTTTGTCTTCCCCTTCCTGGGCTGCCTCTGTTGTGGGGTTTGGCAGAGCAGTTGCATAGTTTGTTAGGTGAATGGTGCATGGAAAACACAGCAGCCATGGGAGGGAAAGAACTTTAAATCCAGTCCAACTTTTATCCCAGCACTGCAAAGGCCACCACTAACCCATGGCACTGAGGGAATGGGAACACTTCCAGGGACAGTGATTCCACCACTGCCTTGGGCAGCCTGTTCCAATCCTGAGCACACACTCCACACCCCCCCAGCACAGATCTGTGTCTGTCCCCCACGTTGTGCTATGTTGTCCCTCAGTAGATCAGTGATGCCTCTGAAAGCAGCATGGGACAGCGAGCATTGCTCCCATGGCAGCATCCCTGTCACAGTGCTACTGCACAGGGGTGCAGAGCCCCCCGTGCTGGTGGCAGTGGGGTGGAGCTGGGTGGTGTTCCACTGTTGGAGGGTGCAGGAGGAGCTGTGAGCCCACTGTGGGTACCAGGGTGGTGATGATAGCACCAGGAGCATTGTGCAGCAGCGAGCGAGGCTTGGCTCTTGCAGAAGTGCCGGCCATAAAGAAGATGGGGTGATGCAGCAGTGTGGGTGACAGGAACAAGGGCTCTGAGCAGCTGCCTTCCAGCCATGTCTCGGCAATAGCAGCCATCTCCAGGGGTGGGAATGTGCTGCAGCTCCGTAAGTAAAGCGGGGAAACCCTCAGCTGGCCCCAGGAGCCTTTCCAAGGGGGTCTCTGAGCCTGAATCCCAGAGCAAGGGGCTGTGAGGGGCTCCGGACTGGTCACTGGGTGCAAGGCATAACTGCTGCCCATGGGTCTCTCTGACACCAGCACATCCACTGCCCTAGCCTGGGAGGGAAACCCAGGTCCAGTGTGTTTCCTGGGTATCCCAATGAGCACAGGGAATGACTGTGGGGGAAGTTAGTGGTGGTCCCTTCTACCTGCTGTCTATGGACCTCCACCACCAGGTGAGGGGATTGAGGGCCAGCAGTGGCCAAAGTGATTTTTGTAAGGGGACAAGCAGCATCCCCAGGCCTCAGAGGATGCTCCAGGAGCTACTCATGGGCTGTGTGAGCACCTTGTACAGTGAGACTCCATTGGCTCTTGCAGGGCTGTTGGCTGCTCTTGGGACATTGGTGGAAACCAGTCAGGAAACTGCCCAGAGGAATCAGACATTACAGGTACAGACACATGTCCATAAACCAAGGTGACTTCTGAATATCTGAGGTCTCTGGGTCTGCAGTAAATGCAGGGGAAGGCTGAAGATGGAGCCAGATGTCAGTGTTGGTATCCCTAAGAGGGCAAGGATGGACAGTATATCCCTGTATGGAACTGTTTGTGAGTGAACAAGCAGGAGGCTTATGTCTTGCCCTGCTCCTAAGGTGCTTGCTGTCACACCTCGGTATCTGCTGTATCCCTGTAGGCACAATTAGAGAAGGCCCAAGAGTCACAGGCAGCTTTGCTGCAGGAGCACACAAAGCAGCTGGAAGCGAAACATGAGCAAGTGCTACAGCTAAAAATCAAGCACATTCTGCTGGAGAAGGACAAGGAGAGCAAGGAGGTACGGGGGCAATGGTTTGTCTTAGGAAAATGACTGCTAGAATAGATGTCTGTAATAGTGTTGCCTTGCAAGAGGAAGTCTTTAGCCTCAAGTTGTCTGGATGCAGTCCCACGAGACCAAAGGAAGCACTGGGAAAGAGCAGAAAGCAAGGAGCACCATCCAGATCCTTGAGCTTAGGAAGGCATTGCGTTGTCTGTAGTGAATGGAGTGCAAGTAAATGGAATGGGGACAGCGTGTTGTGGTGTCTTTAAGACGGTTTCTAACGTGCTTTCGTGTCTGTTGCCTCTGGAGTTGCTGTTTCCCAGTGTCAAGTTCTCTAAGGAGGTGGGTAAGGAGCAGCCAAGTGGCTCCTCCTTCACCTCTGCTTCGCCTTTTCCTCATCCTCTCCCTCATTGTGTTGCCTTGTGTCCTGCTGAGCTTTTCCCCCATAACTTGTCCCTGCCCTGGAGCAGGGACCCTCCTGGCTGCTTTATTCCTTGGAGTCCAGGTCTTTTCCCTAATGATGTGTGTTATTTTCCTATCCTGGAACTGTGGGCTGTCAATTCCCAGCTCCTGGAGAGCGCCGTCACCCAGGAGAAGAGCAAGTACCAACAATCCCTGGAGGAAGAACAGAAGAAGATCCAAGACCTGGAGAGCCACCTGAGGAGCATGGCTGAGGTCAGTGGCCTGCATGGAAGGTAAAGCAGAACTGCTCACCCTTGGAGTGAGCACATCTGAAAGTGCTCTGCAGCATGCTGGGCCATCAGTGGACTGTGGGCTTCCTCCCTCTCCAAATACACCTCAGTGCATATCTTCAGAGAGAAAGGTGGCTACCTGCAAGCTTGGTACCTTCATTGCTGCTCATCTCCTCGTGTAGGCTATAGAGAGAAAGTCAAAGGAGCAGGAGGCTGCTGACTGCAAGCTGCAAGAAGCTGTGCAGAAGCTGGAGGAAACCACAGTGCGAGAGGTAGGTTCAACACCCTGTGCGCAGGCAGAGGACTTGGCTGGATGTGCTTTCAGTGAAGAAGGCTTCTCCAGTCCCCGGTTGCAGGGCACTGCAGCCTCCCCCTTCCCTGATATCCTTCCCTTCCCTCTGTCTTTCTGACCACTAGCCAGGAGAGATGGTGCGGATCTTGATCCCGAAGGAAAACACGTGCAGTGCTTCCAACCAGCATCACTCATCCTTGTTTCCTAGATGGTGTTACAGCAGCGGGTGCTGGCACAAGACGAGGAGCTCAGGACCCTTCAGGAGGAGATTGAGTTACAGAGACAGAAACTGCAGGGAGAAATAGAGGAATACAAGGAGCAGAGTAAGCAGCACGCACTGACAATTGTGGCTTTAGAGGAGAGGCTGCTGGAGGCCAAGGAGCAGCAGAAGACCCTGGAGGAGGAGCACACAGCACTTGTGGAGAAAATGAAAGGTAGCTGCAGCATCTGCACTTGGTTACCGTGAAACTGATAGAGAGGGAGCAGTACATTTGCTGCTATGGAAAGCGTTGTGTATGATATTGATCCGAGGTTTGCCTGTGGCAGAGCGAGCTCAGTGAAGTCCCTGAAGAAGCTGTTTCACAGGGAGTTGCTGTCTGTGGCTTTGGGGACTGTCAATGGCATGCTGTGGTCACAGACAAGGCTTTCTCACTTGGAGAAGAGTTCTTTGCCCTCTAAAGCAAGGAGACTTTCAGCTGCACTCAGGCAGAAGAGATGCTGACCAAGGAAGGATATGAGGAACTGTCTAAGCACTGTTAGAACCACCTTCCTCAGTCTTCAAAGGAGGAGGATCTGACGTTCCTTTTCCTTCTTCCCATGAAGGAAAAGATGTGTCTATCAGAAGCAAGGCAGGCCAAATGTGTGTGTTATGAAGAAGTAACTGGCATTGCTGTTGTGTCCTGCAGGATTTCGGGGTGACAGTTGCCAGGCACCACCGGGGGCTTGGCTGGAGCAGTGTCCTGCAGCAGAGTCTCACAGCTGTCTGTGGTAAGCAGCGCTTGCTGGTGGTGCCTTGTTCAGAACAGATACCCCCAGGAGAGCTTAGGAGAGCTGAGGGGAATGACTGCAGCTTGTCCTGAGCTCTTATTTGTCTGTGATTCCTTTCCTCAGGAAGTTCAGGGAGGAGCTGGTCATGGCACAGAACATGCTGCTCTCCAAGGAGGCTGTCATCACTGGGCTCACCAAAGAGCTTGCAGAAACCAGAGCCAGGCTGACAGACCTGAGAGGTGGGTGAAGCGTGATTTCTACCTTCCCATCCCTCTTCTGGGCAGTAGCAAGGTGAACTCATGCAGATAATGGGAAATAGGTGCTGCCACCCTCAAGCAACACTGTTGTTGTCCATCCCCTTCGGGTTGGTGAGTTCCTCCCCGTCCCTGGCTAAGCAATAGTGGTGACGGTGGGTGAAGGTAATCAGGTGGAGATGGGGTGGGCAAAACTGAGGTATCTTTCTCAAAACACCACTGGTGGGCTCCTTTGAGCCTAAGTCATCCTAAGCCTTGCCTGGGACTCCCCAGTGGGCACCATGTGCTTTAGGGAGGCTGTTGTTCTGCAATCCAAAGGGAAACAGCCATAGCAAGTGATTGCTCTGGCCTATGTCCATGCAAAGGGACTGGCTGTGCAGTGATTTAGTAGAGCAAGATCTAAGGGGACACATCCATTTCACCAAGAACTGCAGATTCCCCAGGGCTGGGCAATGAGACATCCAGAAACCCCTAAAGCTCTTGTATCCCAGGGGAGGTGAGTGAGGAGCACAAGGTGGAACTGGAGCAGAGCCTGACCCGGCTGAAATGCCAGGAGCAGGAATTGAACCTGCTCCGAGAGAAGCTATCCCAGATGTCCAGCCTGGTGGAGAAGAAGGATCAAGCCCTGGAAGCAGTCGCTGAGGAGTTAAGGTACATGATGCTGTGGCTGGGTGCTTTGCAAATGCTGTTCTGTAGCTTCCCAGCGGCTGATGGCATTTAGGTATCTCCCAAGATGCAAAAGGCACGTGGGAGTGAGAGCACTGGATTGGAGCAATGTTGTCTCTATGGAAGTGCCATGTGAACTGAAACAGGGCTTTAGCAGAGCTCGTGCTGGTGGACGTGTAACTAAGTCACATGTAACTAAGTGAATGTTCCCACTCACACCATGGTAGTCAGTGGTGGTGCTGCTCCCCGCAAGCTGTTTGAGCAGCCTTCATCTGTCAGGGTGTCCCACAGTGGTCTTGTCTCTTGGCACAGGCAGGCCCAATCCCACTGCAAGGAGCTGAAGGATGCTCAAGAAATGGCAAAGAAGCCAGAGGCTGCTCCTGGGACACCAGCACAGGCAGAAGTTGCTTCTAAGCAGGTAAGTGCACACAGAGGCTGCTGAGGTCTGGGTTTGCTGAGAGCATCCATAGTGCATGGTGTTTCTCAGAATCATGGAATCAACCAGGTTGGAAAAGACCTTTAAGCTCATCCAGTCCAACCATTCCCCAGCACTGCCAAGGCCCCCATTAACCCATGGCACTGAGGGCTTCATCTACACGGTGTGTGAACACTTGCAGGGAGGGTGACTGCAGCCCTGCCCTGGGCAGCCTGTTCCAATGCCTGAGCATCCTCTGGGGCAGGAATTGTTCCTCAGCTCCATCTAAACCTGCCCTGGTGCAGCTTGAGGCCGTTTCCTCTTGTCCCATCCCTTGTTCCTTGGGAGCAGAGCCCAGCCCCTCCTGGCTCCATCCTCCTGTCAGGCAGTTGTAGAGAGCCATAAGCTCCATGGCCAGCCTCATGCCTGCTCAGAGCTCGTGCAGGGTCTCTGGCCACCCTTTCCCTAGCCAAGGGCTGCAGATGCTGCAGCTTTGCTACTGGCTGATGAGCTGATGTTTGCACAGCACTTTGGAACCAGGCAGTGTTGTGTGTGTGCTAATGGTGCTATAATTGCCAATTAGAAGGAATAGCAGCCTGCATGTGGAACGATCTGCAAGGGCTGCCTCTTCTTTCCTTGCTGAGCAGTCGATGCTGGCTCTATTGGTGCCATCCCCGGTGCTAGGGAAGGCAGGAACAGAAAGGCTCTGCAGCAGCAGATGGAGGGACTGTAGGAACCGTACATCCTGTACCACAGCAGTGGCAGACAGCGTGCCAGCAGGGAAGGCTGCAGTGTGGGGGCCAAGCAGTGACTCACAGCCAGCTGACAAGCAGGAGGTATCACTGTCCTGTTCTGCACGTGGGGATGGGGACTGTTGGAGACCCAGCCAAAGCTGTGGTTCAGGAATAAGCCACTTCTCACTGAGCTGTACCAAAAGGCAACAGCAGCCAGACCTGAATGGGCAGTTTGCAGCCATCAGTATCTGTGTGGGGCTGCCCCATCACAGGTTTTGGGATGTTTGTCATCGTGCTGCAAGCCAGATGGGGCTGGAATGGGGAAATCATGGAATCAATGAGGTTGGATCAAGTCCAACCCTTACCCCTGCACTGTCAAGGCCACCACTAACCCATGGCACTGAGGCCTCATCTCCACGGGGTGTGAACCCTTGCAGGGACGGTGACTGCAGCCCTGCCCTGGGCAGCCTGTTCCAATGCCTGAGCACCCTCTGGGGCAGGAATTGTTCCTCAGCTCCATCTAAGCCTGCCCTGGGGCAGCTTGAGGCCGTTTCCTCTTGTCCCATCCCTTGTTCCTTGGGAGCAGAGCCCAGCCCCTCCTGGCTCCATCCTCCTGTCAGGCACTTGTAGGGAGCCATCAGGTCCCCCCTGAGCCTTCTCTTCTCCAGACTGAACCCCCCAGGTCCCTCAGCCCTTCCCCATCACACTTGTGCTCCAGGCCCTGCACCAGCTCCATTGCCCTTCTCTGGCCCCGCTCCAGCACCTCAATGTCTCTCCTGTTGTGAGAGGCCCAGAAATGAAATACATGGGTCTGGTCTAAAAACAAGTAATGCCTGAGGTCATTCATATATGCAGGCTGCAGAGTGAGTTGGGATGTGTGCATTGAGGAATGTGAAGGCGCAGCCTAAGAGCAAAATGCTGCCATGGCCACTCAGAGCTATGCACCATCCCTCTCCTGGCTCTCTGGAGCATTTCCACTGCTTATGTCCCCACCAGGGTGCAGCGGGCTCAGCAGTGTGAAAGGGGTCTCGGATGCTGCTCTTGTATCCCCACAAATCCACCCAGAAGGGTGCCGAATGAGATGCTCTGAGTGACCAGTGCCTGTCAGCAAGGCTGTGTTTCAGCCAGGTCGAAGCTGAGCTCATGCTGAGCCAGATCAGTGTGAGTGAGAGCCGGCTGCTCTGCCTCTTCCAGGAGTCAGTGCTGGACTTGGCTGACCTTGGCAGGAGATGCCGAGGCCTCAGGCACGAGGAGACGATCCAGCGCCAGCGGGAAGGCTTGGCTGAGCTCCGGGGGAGGGTGAAGGTGCTGGAGAAGAGGCAGTCCTCAGGTAGGGGAAGGTGCATCCATCTGCAGGAGGGGTTTGGAAGCGAGCAGGTGCCTGGCCATGTGCATGGCCATTCCCACCCTCAGGTGCTGCGCTGCTCAATGTGAGAGCAGCTTTCACCCAAAGGAGCTGAGCTCTGGGTGTTGAGGTCTTGCAAGTGCTGGATGTTGTGAGAATCTTCTGCATGCCCAAGCTCATTTTCTCAGTCCCTTTCCATTTTCTGTATCCCTGTCTTGAGAGCACTATGGTGAAGCAGCACCACCTTTGTTAGAAGCTGGAAGTAGAAGAGCTGTTTGTGGTGTGAGCTCTGAAAGCCCATCTGCAAAACAGGCTGGGGAAAGCAGTGGCCAAACCCTGGAGTAGCAATATCTGCAAGGAAAGCTGGTGCAGGCTCAGCTCCAGAGCCCATGCACCTCTCCATGCACAGTCACCATAAGAGGAAACCTGGCAAGCCTCAAAAGCAGCTGAGAGATGAAGCCTCAGCATGCCATACAGAGAGTGGGACAACTCAGTGGCTGTTCTTTTATCTCCAGCTGCCACGATGAAGGGTTCAGAGCCTCTGGTGGTCCTCACAAAATGCTTAGCAGAGGAAGTAGTCCAGAGAACAGGTCATGAGAAGGAACCCACACCCGTGTCAGGGCCAAATCTGAAGGCCAGCAAGGTAAGGAGGCAGTTTGTGGTTTATGGTGCTTGGGTTATGGTGCTAGGTCAGGAAAGTGCTCTCTGTAACAGGGAGAATTCAGCTTTCTAATATCCTAAGAAAGAAGCTGAGAGGGGGAGATGGAAAATCTGGCAACATGTGAGATGCTCAACCCAAGGCCAGGCATTCCATGGGCTCCATTGGTCTTTCCCTGTTTGTGCAGGTTCCTGGCTGTGTTCCTAATGGGGGCTCACACGGGGCAGTGAGCTGGGAGATGGGCGACACGATAGACTTTGGTGAGAAGATGGTGAGTGAGTGATGGACATGTTCAAATGGTGCTTGTAGAGTGTAGGTGGTCTGCAAACACACCTCAGATGTAAGTAGGGGGGTCTCTTCCCACCGAAAAGGGCAGGAAAACATCCAGCAGGGAAAATGGATCATCCTGAAAAAGGAAAAATACCCAACCCCAAAGAGTTGTGCAGCTCGGAACTGAATCCCAGGCTGGTCCGGAGCTGGGATGCACTGCTGTGTGCCACATCCTGAGTGCCTCCAAGCACACAGCCCAAAGGAACCACAGTCAGGTGTGGGTTTAGGAGCAAAGCTCGCAGAGGGGAAACGCTCCCTGAAATGAAACACAGGGAAGGAAATGGTGCTTCCCATGTGACACTGGCATCTCCTGAGCTGGGCAGGATGGAAGCAGATGGCTGAACGGTGGGATGCAGTAGAGTGGAGGAGTTGGCAGGGCAAGGAAATAATGCACTCCCTGCTCTTCCTGCAGTACCTGGATGCAATCAGTACTCTGGGAAGCCTGATGAAGGTGGAGGAAGTGTCGGGAATGCAGTCTTTGAGGCACCTTCCTCCGGAGGAGAGGGGAAAAGCAGGGCTGCAGAGGCGGAAGGACCTGGAGCTGCTCTGTGACAAGATCAGGAACCTCAAGAGTCGCCTGGAAAGAAACGAGGAAAAGCTGAAAGAATACGAGGGCAGAGTGGAGCAGCTGAGGTACTGAGAGGCAAGGTGGCCATTGCCAGCCATGGGTCTGAGTGAGACCTAGTCCTGGATGCTCTGATGTCCGGGAGCATCCTGCCATGGAGGGTGGATGGCCCTGGGAGGGACACCAGCATCATACGGTTTTGCTGGGAAGCTGTTGCTCCCAGGCAGAGCCTGGCTTCGAGGGGCTGATGCAGGTGACAACTTGTCCCCCCCATTGTGCACAGGCTGAACCAGGCATCCCTGCAGAGGTGCCAGGAGGAGGTGTCCAAACTGGAGGAGGAAGCCTACAGGGAGGCGGAAGAGAAGGCTCTGCTGCAGGAGGCGCTGGAGAGGACACAGCTCCAGCTGAACCAGGAGAAGAGGCAGCGAGCAGCCAAGCTGCACAGGGGGAGGCCACGGGAGCAGGTGAGCAAGGACCCATGAGGACAACTGGAGCCAAAGGTCCCAGTGCTTGAGTGGTCAAAGGCAGGTCATGATGGCCAGCAAACACCTCCAGGCTCAGTGGTGCTGGCAAAGGAAGGTGAGGGATGGATGGCACAGCCAGAACACTCCACTGTTGGTAAGATGCCCAAGGCAAGCCCTGCAGGCAGAAGGGAGGTGACACTGGTGATATCCAGAGCTGTGCAGAGGTTGGGAAGGTGTGATGCCTTCTTGGGGTGCACAAAAGATGTAAGGAGGGTGTGAAATGTCCATTGTCACAGGAGATGTCTCCCCTTATGGGTGCAGATGCCTGATGTTGCACTCTGAAATGAGCACTGGGGAGGCACTTGGTGAATGAAGAGTGAGGATTGGGGTGAAGATCCATAGGGCTGAAAGGTGCCAAGTGTTGGCTCTGGGGATGTCTCTCGTGTGGGGCACCTCATGGGGAACTTGCTGCAGCCAGGAAGGTGAAGGAGCCCAATGTGCTGTCTCAGCAGAAGCTGTGAGCCCACTGGAATGTGCTTCCCTAGCTCCTGTGATCCATTAGGAAGTCATGGTGGGTCTGGCTGCTGCGTACTGCAAGTGGCTGTGCTCTTCTGCAGCCCCAGCCGGGCAGATGCCAAGCGAAGAGCTGGATGCTCCATGTGATACCCAACCCCTGCACTTCATGCAGCATCCATCAGGCACCTGAGATCCTGTGGTCCATCTGACCATCCCAAGAGGTTGGGGCCCTGCTGCTTAGTTGCACAGCAGCATTTCCACTGCAGGAGATGGAGTGCAACAGGAATGTAGGCAGCTATATAGAGGGGTCTGGGCCATGAACGTGGTGTTGATGTCCTTCTGTTCTGCAGGCTGGAGCCAAGAAGCCTTTCTGCTTGGGCAAGCTGAAGGCCAAACAGTGCACAGCAGAAGCTGTCAAGATGGGAAGTGCATAGGAGAGGCACCACGTGGGCCTTTGGTAGGTGAAGGTCTGCAGTGGGAATGGGTCATTGTGCTGCGGACTTCCTAATGTCCGATGTAGTACAAGGCTTTGGTGCATTTTGAGGAGCCCCTGTTGGAATCCCATAGCTCCAGGGCACGCTGGTGTAGGACCTTATTTTCCTGCAGTATGGGTCCCATGGTGTGTGGTGTGCTGTATGGCAGTAGGAAAGGTGGTGTGGATACAGCCCATTGTACGCATTGTGTGTGTGAATAGAGCCCATTGTACAGACTATATGAGTGAAATCAGTCGTCTGGGTCCTGTCCTGTTGCCTCTGAAGCAGCCTTGTTGCACGGCCCACACTGTCCCTTGCACTTCCACCTCCTGTGGTGCCCTGGGGAGCTGGAGCACAAGGCATGGTGCAGAATGGAAACAGAGGAGTGCATCACTGACTGGAGCCACAGTGAATGTCCCTGTACCAGTGGGAAGGGAAGAACAGGAGCAGCCCCTAGTTTCTGAGGAGCAGTGGTGTTCTGAGGGAAACTGGGAGCTCCTATGCCCATTTGCCCGCAGCCACTTTGCTTTGCTCAGAGCAGCCTATGCAGAGTTCTCTGCAGAGCTTTCCAGCAAAGGATAACGTGGATGTGAGCACAGCCCCTTGGGGGTTTTGTCGGTATTTGTAATAGAAGTCAAAGGGTGAGAAACAGCACAGAGGGGCTGAGGCAGGAATCATAGCGTCTGTGAATGTGCTGCTGGGCACCTGTGGGCACATTGTGGCTGATGCCTAATTTCTGGTGCATTATGTGGTTGGTGGCTGTGCTGCAGGGCTCTGGCCATGGCAGTTTTCCCTCTTGATGTGCTGTGGGCTTCCCTCTTGATGTGCTGCGTGCTGCCCTAAGCTGATTTTGGGGCAAGGCATGACCTGGTTCCCTCATGTAGGTTCACAGGATCATAAGGGTTGAAGGAACCTCTGGAGATCATCCAGTCCTGTCCCCTGCCAAGACAGCGCCACTCAAAGCAGGGCACACAGGAACGTATCCAGGCGAGTTTGGGATGGTTCCAGAGAAGGAGGAATGCCCTAGGCAGCCTGTGCCAGGGCTCTGCCACCCTCAATGGAAAGATGTTCTTGCTCACGTTGAGGTGAAACTTGCTGTGGTTTAGTTTGTGGCCATTGCTCCTCATCCTGTCACTGGGCACCACTGGAAAGAGTCTGGCACCATCCTGCTGGCGCCCACCTTTGAGCTATTGATGTGCATTGATGAGATCCCCTCTCAGGCTGCTCTTCTCTGCACTAACCAGGCCCAGCTCCTGCAATCTCTCCTCATGAGAGAGATGCTCCAGAGTCCTGAGCATCCTTGTGGCCTCGGCTGGACCCTCTCCAGCATCTCCTTGTCTCGTTCTGAGGAGCCCAGCATTGGGCAGGGTTGACAATTCCCTGCCGGGCTGTGCTGCGGCCATCTCCCGCGGGTTTGCCTGGTGGGGTCGGGCTGCTCCACGATTCCCGATGCCGACCCCCCGGGAGTAATGGATGGAGCTGGAAGGAGCCCGTGGGAGCCGCCTCCCCCCTGCTGAGCGCCGGGTACGGCTCCTGCACGCCCGGGCTCTCCCGAAGGGGGCCTACGGAGGCAGCGGAGCGGCGGAGGGGCCCGGACCCCCCCGCGGCGGGGCGGGGCGTGGAGGCGCGGCCATCCGGGCACCATGGCGGCGGCGGCGGAGGAGCTGTCGGGGCGGCGGGGCCGCGGACCGGAGCCGGGGCCGGGGCCGGGCAGCCCCTTGGGGCGGGCGGCGTTCGAGGGTTCGCCCGGGGGCGGCCGCCGCGTCTTCAGCCCCGCCGCGGAGTTCCGCGAGTTCTCCCGGAGGCAGCTCCGCGACATGGAGCGGCTCTTCCGACAGTGAGTACCGGGGAGAGCGGGGACGGCCGGGCGGCATCACCGGGCACCGGCGGGGGGACCCCGGCCAGGTCCCTGCAGGAGGAAGCCCGCAACACCTTGCAGGAGGTTCCCTTGGCTCCTCGTAGGAGGCTCTCCCCATCCCTTGCATGAGGGATGCCTGGGATACCCCCAACTCCTTGCAGAAGGGATCCCAAGGACTTCCCCCCTCCACAGCTCCTTGCAGGGGGATGCCTGGGATACCTTTCCCCCAGCTCCTGCAGGAGAGATTCCTGCACACCCCAAATCTCAGCAACAGGGACCCCGGTCCCCCCCATCTCCTGGCAGGAGTGACCCTGGCACCTTGTATTGCAGCCGGGAAAGCTGGAGCGTACCACAAGGGACCCCCCTGCCTTCCCTCTGCTGCAGCACCGAGGAGTTCCCACTTCTCGGTGCGTCCCCAGCATCCCCAGCCTCACTGCGTGCCACCACGCATGGTGCAGCGTGACTCGGTGCACAGGCTCTGCCCGGGGGGAACCTGGCATCGATCCCTGGAAATTTCCAGGGGAAAACTGACATTGCGGTGTCTGTAACCATGGTCACACCAGGATGTGCCGGGGGCGCAAGTGGCATGGCCCGGAGTATCCTTATGGATGATGCAAAGGCAGCGTGGCTGTAGGGAGCATGGAGAGGAGCGAGCATCCTGCAGTGTGCTGCTGCCTCTGGCCCCATCCGGTGTAAACCGGGGGTGAAATCTGTGTAGATGTGCTGCAGGCTCTTGCTTGGGCACTGCTGGAGAGAGTGGAGGGGCTGGATGCAGCGAGCCCCAAGGCACAAGGGGGGGGGGGGCTGTTTGAGGTGCAGGCAATGTTCTGCCAGCATCGCAGGCAGTGCAAGAGCCCCCCTGTTCCCTGCTTCTTCCCACCCGGACACAGATGTGCTGGTTGCTGCTTACAGTCTCTTGGATGCAGCCTGGGGTGAGGGTACAACCACGCTTAGGGTCCCCAAGACCAGAGCACCCATCTGGTGATGCTGAGCACGGGAGCTCATCGTGGTGCAGATGGCGTGTGGTGGGAATGTGGCCGGCACCACGCAGGTAAGGAGCCAGGCGCACGGAGCAGACGTGTTTGCAGTGCCTCACTGCAGCGAAAGGAGCAGCGTGAGGCAGCCCGCGGCGGTCTGGGAGCTGGGAAAGGGGGTTTTCCCAAGGGAAGGACGCTGTTGAGCCGTGTGCCCTTGTCACCCTTGCAATGCAATGATCTGACTGTATGGTGTAAAGTGTGGGAGGGGTTTTGCTGCCTGAAGGGGGGAGATGGTGCCGCATGGGAGAAGCAGAGGGATGCCGGCATCCCCAGAAAGCAGAGAGGAGGGGAGTGAGAGTAAGGAAGTGCCCTGCAGCTGGGGCATGCCTTGCATGGGATGAAAGAGCAGGGCCAGGCTGGCAAACTTGCCCTTTGCAGAGCAACTCTGTGTGATGCTCCAAGAGGGATCTCGGAGGCAGGAAGCACGTTGGGGCTGCTCCCCCAGCCCACCTCCGGGCTGACAGCAGCAGCAGGCAGAGGGGAGCAGGGCCAAGTGCTGTGAGAGAGTCCCCACAGCGTGGGAGAGCAGGAAGGCGACAGGGACAGAGCGAAACCGCAGCAGGGAAGGTACAAATGAGTCACAGACCTGCGGCGTGCTGAGCCTGGTGCTCTGCGAGGCGGCTGCAGCTCCGCAGGCAGAGCACGAGTCAGCCACCGAAAGGAGAAAGCCTGCTCGTGATGGGTGAAGCTGCTGGGACACTCCTGCATGGCCCTGGGCTGCCTGCAGGGTCTCCTCCCGTGTGGTGCCCAGGGACGGTAGTGGGGTGAGGTGCAGCGGTGAGGCTTGCATTGAGGATGGAGGGGTATTGGGGAGATGCAGCCGTCTGCCCTGTGGAGCTGTGTTTGATGAGGAGCTGTGCTGGCTCTGCAGCAGGAGTCCCCTGTGCTGTGCTGCAGGGTTCCAGGACTACATCCAGACACGGGGAGCTGCCAGCTCCATTCAGGTAGTGGGAGGATGGAGGGGTCAGTGGGGTGGTCTGAGGGGTTGTCCCTGCCAGGGTCTGTGAGCAGGCTCAGTGAGAGACAGAGAATCATGGAATCAGTGAGGTTGAAAAGTCCGTGATCATCCAGTCCAACCGTCCCCAGCACTGCCAAGGCCACCACTAACCCATGGCACTGAGGCCTCGCCTCCACGGGGTGTGAACACTTGCAGGGAAGGTGACTGCAGCCCTGCCCTGGGCAGCCTGTTCCAATGCCTGAGCACCCTCTGGGGAAGGAATTGTTCCTCAGCTCCATCTAAACCTGCCCTGGTGCAGCTTGAGGCTGTTTCCTCAAGGTACAGCACCATCCGCAGCCTCTGCACACCCGCTTCCCCAGGCACGGTGCCTCCTTCCACTGCAAAACCCCACATTCCTCCTATGGCAGCCCTGGCTCCTCCTGGGGACCCCCCAGCCAGGGTGCAAGCCCCACACTGCCAGACCCAGCACCCACCTTGTTCCTCCAGACACTGTGGAAGGAGACCCACAGTGAGACACTCAGCTCCTGGGTCATGGCGCAGGTCCTGCAACCCTCCTCCCTGGACCAGTCAGCCCCCCAAGGACCAACCCTTGAGACCCCCACTGAAGTTTACCTGTCCTCAAGTAGCCCAGGGCCAGCAAAGTCCTCTGAGACATAGAACCAGAGAATGAGAGAATGGTTTGGGTTGAAGGGACCTTAAGGCTCATCCAGTTCCAACCCCTGCCACGGGCAGGGACACCTTCCACTAGAGCAGCTTGCTCCAAGCCCTGTCCAGCCTGGCCTTGAGCACTGCCAGGGATGGGGCAATCACCACCTCTTTGGGCAGCCTGATCCACTCCCAAGGACAACCAAGGCCCCTAAAGCACTTTGGAGCTGCCGCATCCCTCAGTGCTCCCCATGGGCCAACTGGCTCCCTTACAGGCCCCCAGTCAGACCCCAGCCCCTCTCCCCCAAACCACCAGCAAAGCCTTGAGCCCCTTGGTGCTGAGGGCATGGATGCCACCCCTGCTCCCCACAGCTGCAGGCTGAGCTCGCCCCAGTGCCCTCACTGAGCAATGTGGGGACCCTGCAAACCCCAGCATCCCCAGCCACAGCCACAGGTGCCTGCCCCCAGCTCCCCCCCGCTCAATAACCAGACCAAGCGAGACCAGCTCAGCACTTGTGCCTTTATCACGCTCGAGACGCGCTGCCCCTCGCGCCGCATCTTCAGTTGCTGCTTATTGTCTGCCAAGGACAAGACAGAGGGGACATGGCAGCGAGCCCCGGCGCTGGGCAGGGGCAGCCCCTCGCTGGGGGCAGAGCACGCGGCACCCACCTCGTTGATCCAGTCGATGTAGGCGGACACGCGGGTGAACACCGTCGGCTTCCTCAGCGTGTTGCAGCCCAGCGCCGAGCCAAAGCTGACGATTCCGGCCACCTCCCAGCGCTCCTCGAACGGGCAGTTCAGGGGGCCTCCGGAGTCCCCCTGTCCCCATGGACACAGCTCAGTGCTCGCCCTTCTGGACGCTCACCTCCAGCCCCTCACCTCCCCGTGCTTCCCATGGGGTCCACAGCCTCGCGCTGCCAGCCCGCCCCCTTTAGAGCCATAGAGACAATGAGGTTGAAAAGTCCTTCAAGAGCGTCCAGTCCAACCATTCCCAGCACTGCCAAGGCCAGCACTAACCCATGGCACTGAGGCCTCGTCTCCACAGTGTGTGAGCACTTGCAGGGACAGTGACTGCAGCCCTGCCCTGGGCAGCCTGTTCCAATGCCTGAGCACCCTCTGGGGAAGGAATTGTTCCTCAGCTCCATCTAAACCTGCCCTGGTGCAGCTCGAGGCCTTTTCTCTTGTCCTGTCACTTGTTCCTTGGGAGAAGAGACCGACCTTGACCTCACTACAATCTCCTGTCAGGTAGCTATGGAGAGTGATGAGTCTGGACTTGTTGGCCAAGCCCAGGCGCATTGATGGATGCTGAGGGTCTTTGGGCAGGCAGGAGCCATCACTTGGAGATGTCAGAGTGAGGAGGTGGCGGTGTGCTCAGGCCCTGTGCCCAGGGAGCCAGCAGCAGGTTTGGCAGCATCTGTAGGGGTTCTCCTGCCAAGCACCGCATGGAAGCGGAGCTGATCCCAGATGATGCTCTGGGGGCTGTTAGTGGTTTGCCAGCAGTTTCCCATGGTCTGGCGAGCTGCCTGGGAGTGTTGGTGCCCACATCTTTGCTGTTACCTCCTCCTGTGCCTGCTGCCTCGCTCCCCGGGCAGAGGAGACACTCAGTGATGTGACAGGACCATCCCTCTGTGCTGCAGGTACGATGCGGGGAAAGATGGTTTCATTGACCTGATGGAGCTGAAGCTGATGATGGAGAAGTTGGGGGCTCCACAGACGCACCTGGGCTTGAAGAACATGATCAAGGAAGTGGATGAAGACCTGGACAGCAAGCTCAGCTTTCGGGAGGTAAGGGCATGGGGAGGGCGCCACACTGGCATGAACATAACCCTGGTGCTGCTCACCTCAGTGCTGAGCTTGGCATGGTTCTAAGGTGATGGAGAGGGTGTTGTAGTGGCTTTGAGGTCTTGGAGGGGCCAACACCAGTGTCTCTCTTTGCAGTTCCTGCTGATCTTCCGCAAGGCAGCAGCAGGAGAGCTGCAGGAGGACAGTGGGTTGCATGCCCTGGCCCGGCTCTCCGAGATCGACGTCTCCACAGAGGGCGTGAAAGGTGCCAAGAACTTCTTTGAGGCCAAGGTAATGATGTCCATACCCAGGGTGGTGATGCACAAGGGTGGTTTGGTGCCAGCTCACTGGGAGCAGCGGGTGGGGATGTTGGTGGGGTCTTGGTGGCCCCAGCCAGATGTGTCCCCATCGGCAGGTACAAGCCATCCATGATGCCAGCCGCTTCGAGGAGGAGATCAAGGCAGAGCAGGAGGAGAAGAAGAAGCAGGCAGAGGAGATGAAGCAGAGAAAAGCAGCGTTCAAGGAGCTCCAATCCACCTTCAAGCAGTGACAGGGCACAGTGCCGGGCAGGACTGGTGTGCGGTGCCTGGAGCCGGGAATGCCACGTGTGCCACGTGTTGACTGTAACGGGAGCGATGCCCGAGCTGTGTGCCTGTGACTGCCCAAAGGCCGGGCTCGGCACAGAGCCCGGCCCTCCCTTCCCCTGCTGTGCTGCCTGTAGGTGTTGTTCATACCCCTCTATTGTCCCCTCGCCGAGCTGCCCCTGCCCAAGGGGTGACAGCGCCGTGTCCCTGCCAGGGGCTGCTCCTGCCGGGGCAGCCGTGCCCGGGGGTGCTGTCCCCACGCTGTTGTGTTGTGCATGCACCGTGCAGGACTCGGGCACTCACCCCGGGGGGGTCACAGTGACTCGGTGCCTGTTGCCATTGCTGCCGGAGGGGTCCGTGTGTGCAGTGCCGGGGGGTGGGAGCCTCCCATGGTGTGCAGCCCCCCGAGGGCTGTGTCTCTGTTCTGAAGCTGTGTGCAAAGGTGGCTGCTGGCTCTTGAGGCTGTTCTGTGTTTTCATGTTGTGTTTGGCCCAGGAGGATGAGTGTTGTAGCCACACGTGGTTGGGTGAGCTCCCATGTTGGCTGTACCGATGCGTCTGTCCCGCGGTGTCACCCTGGGTGGTTGTACGGGGGGTGTTTGTGTGTTTTGTGTGTTTTGGGTTTTTATTTTAATCCCAAATAAATATTATATTTCTTAAGCTGGGTGCCTGTGTGTGGGGCTGAGGTGCAGCCATGCTCTGGTTGTGTCCATGGTAGTGGCAGGAGCCACATGGGGAGCAGGCACCCCATCACTGCTGCGGGTGGTGGTGAAGCAGGATGACCCATGGAGGTGCTGGGACATCAGCATAGGAAGCACCGGGGGCATGATCCAGATAGGGTGTTACTGAAGGTCTTCAGCATCCCTGTGCTATGGGGCTGCCCCCCTGCCCCACAGGGCGCCTGTGGGGTATTGGGTGGCCTTGGCCATGTGGAGCATGAGATAAGGAGACCCTTCTCCTGTGGTGCATGGGGGAGCAGGTTTGGAGGCTGCACCCTGGAAGCTGGGGGCAGTTGGGCTGCCTGCAACCACAGAGATCAGTGTGGCGGGGGGAGCTGCCTGCAGGCTGACCCCCCAGGAGGGACCCTGTGTGTCCCCAGGCGTCCCTGCTGTGCCACGTTGGATGGGCAGCTGTGGCTGTTCCCAGGGGGCTGATAAGATGGAGCAATGGGGCTGAGGAGCTGCCCCCCAGCGTGGGACACTCACCAGATGTTGGCCAGGGGAGGGTCAACCCCAAGGTCCTGGGGTGCTATAAGGGGGGTGAGTGGCCCCTCCATGCACTCTGGACGGCTGCAGCCATGCTGGGTGCTCTGTGTCTCGCTGTGTTGCTGGGCTACGGTGGGTCTGGGGTGCAGGAGGGGATGGGGTGAGGGGCTTGGGACCCCGGCAGCCGCTGTGACCCTGGGCACAGGAGGCCGCTGAGGTCCCTTTGCCGGTGTCACCCAGCCTATGGATGCGGGCAGGCGGCCGTGGCATCGCTGCATGTCCCCCGTGTGGTGGGTGGTGAAGATGCTGTGCCCCACAGCTGGCCATGGCAGGTAAGGGGGGATGCAGGGATGGGGATAGGGGCAGGGATTGGAACATTCCCACAGTGATGCTGTGCCTCTGCTGTCACAGATCTCACTGCAGTACAGCCGCAATGGGGAGTGGTACCACACATGCGGTGGGACCCTGATTGAAACCAACTGGGTGCTGACGGCTGCCCACTGCATCAGGTGGGTGCTGGGGTGTAAGAGAGGGGCCCATGCAGGGGGGGATAAGATGCCTATGGAGACTGACACCTCTGTTTATGCCCCTGGAAGCTCTACCCTGACGTACCGCGTGGTGCTGGGCAAGCAGGTCCTGTCGGATGAGGAAGAGCCGGGCTCGGTGGCTGTGGGTGTGGAGAAGATCATCGTGCATGAGAATTGGAACTCCCTCCTCATCGTGTATGGGATGGGATGGGTCAGGGATGGATGGAGGGGGTATTATGGCTGGGTTCCGCTTCCCTATGAACCTGATCTTCCTGTCCCCATGGCTCGGCTCTCACCGTAGCAATGACATCGCCCTGATCAAGCTGGCAGAGGAGGTGCAGGAGAGTGAGACCATCCAGGTGGCCTGCCTGCCGCCCGCCGGGCAGATACTGGAGAACAACTACCCCTGCTATGTGACCGGCTGGGGCCGGCTCTGGAGTGAGTGGGGGTCCGTGGGGAGGAGTCAGGGGGGTCCAATGCAGGTGCAGGGTGTGATGTGTGCCTCTCTTGGCAGCAAATGGGCCCCTGGCTGACGTCCTGCAGCAGGCACTGCTGCCCGTGGTGGACTATGAGACCTGCTCCCAGTGGAGCTGGTGGGGCATCTACGTGCTCCCCAGCATGGTGTGCGCCGGCGGCGATGGTGTCATCTCCAGCTGCAACGTGAGTGTTGGGCAGGGGGTGGCAAAGGTGGGTGCAGGAGTGGTCTCTGCCCCCGAGGAGCAAGGGCTGGCAGCACGAGGCTGTGGACCCCATGGGAAGCACGGGGAGGTGAGGGGCTGGAGGTGAGCGTCCGGAAGGGCGAGCACTGAGCTGTGTCCATGGGGACAGGGGGACTCCGGAGGCCCCCTGAACTGCCCGTTCGAGGGGCGCTGGGAGGTGGCCGGAATCGTCAGCTTTGGCTCGGCGCTGGGCTGCAACACGCTGAGGAAGCCGACGGTGTTCACCCGCGTGTCCGCCTACATCGACTGGATCAACGAGGTGGGTGCCGCGTGCTCTGCCCCCAGCGAGGGGCTGCCCCTGCCCAGCGCCGGGGCTCGCTGCCATGTCCCCTCTGTCTTGTCCTTGGCAGACAATAAGCAGCAACTGAAGATGCGGCGCGAGGGGCAGCGCGTCTCGAGCGTGATAAAGGCACAAGTGCTGAGCTGGTCTCGCTTGGTCTGGTTATTGAGCAGGGGGGAGCTGGGGGCAGGCACCTGTGGCTGTGGCTGGGGATGCTGGGGTTTGCAGGGTCCCCACGTTGCTCAGTGAGGGCACTGGGGCGAGCTCAGCCTGCAGCTGTGGGGAGCAGGGGTGGCATCCATGCCCTCAGCACCAAGGGGCTCAAGGCTTTGCTGGTGGTTTGGGGGAGAGGGGCTGGGGTCTGACTGGGGGCCTGTAAGGGAGCCAGTTGGCCCATGGGGAGCACTGAGGGATGCGGCAGCTCCAAAGTGCTTTAGGGGCCTTGGTTGTCCTTGGGAGTGGATCAGGCTGCCCAAAGAGGTGGTGATTGCCCCATCCCTGGCAGTGCTCCAGGCCAGGCTGGACAGGGCTTGGAGCAAGCTGCTCTAGTGGAAGGTGTCCCTGCCCGTGGCAGGGGTTGGAACTGGATGAGCCTTAAGGTCCCTTCAACCCAAACCATTCTCTCATTCTCTGGTTCTATGTCTCAGAGGACTTTGCTGGCCCTGGGCTACTTGAGGACAGGTAAATTTCAGTGGGGGTCTCAAGGGTTGGTCCTTGGGGGGCTGACTGGTCCAGGGAGGAGGGTTGCAGGACCTGCGCCATGACCCAGGAGCTGAGTGTCTCACTGTGGGTCTCCTTCCACAGTGTCTGGAGGAACAAAGTGGGTGCTGGGTCTGGCAGTGTGGGGCTTGCACCCTGGCTGGGGGGTCCCCAGGAGGAGCCAGGGCTGCCATAGGAGGAATGTGGGGTTTTGCAGTGGAAGGAGGCACCATGCCTGTGGGAGCGGGTGTGCAGAGGCTGCGGATGGTGCTGTACCATGAGCCCCCGAGCAGAGCCGCCCACCAGCACTGCGGTGCTGCCGTCACCTTGTCATGGGTGCTGAGCCCAGTGAGAAGCTTCATGGCAGATGATGATGGATGGAGGTGCCTCGACCTCAGCGGGGGATGTGATGGATGGTGCCCAGCTTAGGAGTGATGCTGCCACCAGCCTGAGCAACACCAGCACCAGCCTGGGGAGCGATGCCATCACCTGCACTGGACCTGCAGTGGGGCTCAGGAGCAGTGGTGTGAGCCCCGAGGCTGTGGGAGCCACTTGCCTGGGCTGTGGCTTGCTTGGGGCAGGGTTGTGGGTCCCTCTGGGGACCAAGTGACACCTGACAGCACGGCCAGAGGTTTAGTGGGTGAAGAGATACATGGGGAGGGCAGCAGTTGGGGGGGGTAGGTGCTGTGTGCTGTGGCAAAGGGATTGTACACATCACCCCTTGGGTATTAAAGACCTGCCCAGAGGACGTGTGGAGATGGACCATGTACCACAGGGGTGGCTCTTCGGGGTGGGAAGAAGAGGCTGGGGAGCAGGACCCCAACATGCGGGAGGCACTGCCTGGTGCTGCAGTCACATCGAGACGAGCTCTCATGTCACATCTATGTGTCCACCTGGGCACCGTGTCCCCTCTCAGAGGTGGTGTGGTGAGTGTGGGAGCCCTGGGCATCACTGCAGCACTGGGCTGGTACCCTGTGGGTCACAGCCTGCAGAACCAGTGGTGGTGGGGAGGGAGCAGGACCATTCCTGGCACTGGCACCCTCTGGGATGGGTCTCACCCCAGTGAAAGATGTCCCCTCCTGCAGGAGGTGGTGGAGAGTCACAGTCCCTGCATGAGACTCGGCTAAACCTTGGCTCGCAGTGAGACCCCACAGTGGTGGGTGGCCACGAGGCTGGTGTGTGACCTGAGCGAGGCCAGCAGGGTGCCTTTGGGGTGTGTGAATCCCTGGGGTGGCTGTGTGAGCATCCAGCACGCCCGAGGGACAAGTGGGGTGTGCTGGGGCTGTACTGTGTCAGGGGGACACAAAGCACCATGGTGTGGCTGCTGGAACTGCCCATGTGTCTGTAATGCTGACAGAAGGCGACCCCTGTTGTGTGGGACCGTGTTGAACACTTTACACAAGTCCAGGTAGATGACATCAACTGCTCTACCCCGTCCACCAGTTCTGTAGCCCCATCATAGGAGGCCACCAAATTGGTCAGGCAGGATTTCCCCTCAGTGAAGCCATGCTGGCTGTCACCAAGCACCTTGTTGTTTTTCATGTGCCTTAGCATGCCTTCCAGGAGAATCTGCTCCAAGATTTTGCCAGGCACGGAGGTGAGACTGACTGCTCTGTAATTCCCCGGCTCATCCATTTTCCCCTTCTGGAAAATGGGGGTTATATTTCCCTTTTTCCAGCTGTCGGGAACTTCACCTGAGTGCCATGATTTCTCAAACATGATGGCCAGTGGCTTAGCAACTTCATTTGCCAGCTCCTTCAGGACCCGCAGATGGATTTCATCAGGTCTCATGGACTTGTGCATGTTCAGGTTCTTAAGATGGTCTCAAACCAGATCCTCTTGTACAGTGGGCCTAGGGTCTTCATTCTGACAGTAGAACTACTGGGGCCGGGGCCGCTGGGCTCACTGCAGAGCATCCCTGCTCCAAAAACCTCTTCAGTTTCTGATATAGCTGGAGTCTTTGAGGAAGTCCAGGCTGGAAATGCTGGGGGAGGCTTTGGAGCAAGCAAAGACCCATCTCTATGGAGCTGATGTGGGGCTCAGGGACCCCCAGGTTGGAGAAACCCCCTGCATATACCCTGGGGCAGGGAGAGGGATGAGTGACTCACATCATCTATACAAATGCCCGCAGCATGGGGGACAAACAAGAAGAATTAGAGATGTGGGCACATCTACGGGGTTATGCTATAATGGGCATCACAGAAACATGGTGGCACGGCTCCTACGACTGGAGTGTTGGGATGGAAGGTTACAGGCTCTTTAGAAAAGGCAGGCCCGGCAGGCGGGGAGAGGGAGTTGCCCTTTATGTTAGGGATAGGCTGGAGAGTACGGAACTCTGTCTGGGGACAGGTGAGCAGCCCACAGAGAGTTTGTGGGTCAGGGTTAAAGGGAGAACATCCATGGGAGACATTACTGTGGGGACCTGTTACAGACCACCTGATCGAGAGCACTCTGCGGGTGAAGCGCTCTGTAGACAGACAGGAACAGCCTCACGCTCACGGGCCCTTGTTCTCATGGGGGACTTCAACCACCCTGGTATCTGTTGGAGCGACGGTACGGCCCGGCACAAGCAATGCAGGAGGTTCCTTGATTGTGTGGAAGACAAATTCCTTCTGCAAGTAATTGAGGAGCCGACACGGAGAGGTGCCATGCTTGACCTCGTGCTCACCAACAGGAAAGGGCTGGTTGGAAATGTGATGCTCCAGGGCAGCCTTGGATGCAGCGATCATGAGATGCTCGAATTTGAGATCCTCAGGACAGTGAGAAGAGCGTGCAGCAAGCTCACTGCCCTGGATTGCAAGAGAGCAGACTTTGGCCTCTTCAGAAACCTGCTTAGTAAGGTTCCATGGGATACCGCCCCAGAGGGCAGGGGGCCCAAGACTCTCGGTTGATATTCAAGGATCACCTCCTGCAAGCTCAGAAGTGTTGCATCCCAACTAGAAGGAAGTGCAGCAGGAGGGCCAGGAGACCTCCTTGGATGGATAAGGAGCTGCTGAGGAAACTTAGAGGGAAAAAAGAGGCTTCTAAAAGGTGGAAGCAAGGACAGGCAGCCTGGGAAGAATACAGGGATGTTGTCTGGGAAGCTAGGGACCAGGTCAGGAAAGCTAAGGCCCAGTTAGAATTAAACTTGGCTAGGGATGTGAAAGATAACAGGAAGGGATTCTATAGGTACGTAGCGAATAAAAGACAGACTAGGGACAATGTAGGCCCCCTCCGGAAGCTATCAGAAGAACTGGCTACCCTGGATTTGGTTCTTAAGGACTTCATTTTCCACTCTTTTCTCTGACTTGGCACATGATGGGTGAAACTGAGTAGTGTCCTGCAGCCTTTTTAGTAGCTGAATCTGCTTGTGATTTGGCCATCCCTACACATAACACCCAACAGCACCAAGATACCTTTTCCAGCCAATGCTGGCAAGTGTCTTGGATAACTATCTCACTACCTGGAGGTCTGCACGTGATTGTGTATGTTTCTAAGAAAGCAAGTAACCTGGGGACAAGTTATTGGTGTTTAGCAACATCTCCATAGCCAGAAAGTTCCCAGTCTGTTCCTAGTCACTAATTGTTGGAAATTTAGGAAATGAATGTACCGGAGGACAGGAGCGCTTTCTACGTAGCAGTATGGAAGCCCCTTCTTATGGCAGACAGTCAAGTTCACCCAGCTCTATTTAGCAGGCAGCAGTTCCAAACTGCTATGCTGGAATCACTTTGAAATTTAAACATTGCATTGTGTGTTTTATTTATTGGTGGCGAGATTGTGAAAAAAGCATCTTCCCGTGTTTCTATGCTGTATGTGAAATAAAAGCTGGTAATAATTTATGTGGTATTTTTATTATGTTTTTCCTGGGGTTTGTGGCGTTTTACGTTAGGGTGAGGGACAGTGTGCTTGCCTACTTGCTCTTCTAGAAAAGATCTAATAAGGTAAGTGGATCTTCACTGGAACAAAAGATATGTTGTTAATATTGTCCTGAACAACAAACAATTTGTGGTCCTTATATGGGTTACAGTACTGTAAGACTACATCATAGCTTTTAAATTCCTCCCAGTTAAAAACTGTATCTGTTTAACTATTGTCTCTCTTTCATATATATGTTGCCTTGAACTCAGCAACCAACTTCTGCCAAGACTGTCAGTGCTATAAAGCTAAGCACTTCTCTCAGCAGCTAGATGCCTATATCCGGAGCTGATGTTTGAAAACAATCTTAGGTGTATTAACTCCTGTTCCCTGTGTCAGAAAAGTGATGTGATTGCAGACAAGAATTCCTCACATCTGGCATGGTGGAGGGGTGGTGGAAGAGCCAGAGGGGCGTCAAGCAGGACGGAGTGCCGAGGGAAGCTAAAGGGAGGCTAAAGCCCCCTTCTTGCACCGCCTCCTGACTCTGCTTGCGTTTCCCTCACTTGGGACTCTGTGGCCTCAGCAGCGTTTGGCTTGGCTGCTGATGTG